AATGCAGCCATTTGTGTACTTCTGTACTTCCGGATGAATTAATCTCTCTATTGATTCATGAAGGGTTGGTGGAGAACCAAAGGTAGGGAGAAGAAGATAACCAGCTATTCTTAGGAAGAAACAATAAAGTTCCTTTTCCAACCACCAAAAAGTTGAAGACAGGTTTGCTGTGTAAAATAACAAAGCATGATGACTACATAAAGGCTCGGTACCCAAAGAGAACTGAATTACTCACAAAATGCCTGAAAACTCACATCTTAAATACATGTTCAAATCCAAAGAGCTCAGAAATATCAGCTGGAGTGAGCTGGTTGTGGTGATGCACACCTGTAATTCCAGTCACTCAGGAGGCTGGAGAGAGGAGGATCGAGTTCAAGGCCAGCCTCAGCAAATTAGTGAAGTGCTGTCTGAAAATTTAAAAATTTAGGGCTGGGGTTGTGGCTCTGTGGCAGAGCACTTGCTTTGCATGTGTGATGCACTGGGTTCGATTCTCAGCACCGCATATAAATAAATGAATAAAATAAAGACCCATCAACAACTAAAAGCATTCAAATTTAAAAGGGCTGTGGAAGTAGCTCTGTGATAAAGCACCCATGGATTCAATCCCCAGTGCCAATACGTACATATGTACATACATACATAGTGGTGGAGTGTTATTGTAAGCCATCTTTTAATTTTAATATTAATTTTTTTCAGTGCTTGGGATTGAACCCAGGGGTGATCAACCACAAAGCTACATCCATAGCCCTTTCTAAGACAGGCTGTTACTAATTTTCTGGCCTCAAATTTGCAATCTTCATGCCTCAGCCTCCCCAGTAGCTAGGATTATAGGTGCGTGCCTCTGCACCCAGCTAAAACATTAATTTTAGACATGGCACAGATGTGTGGTAAGTACTCTGTAATTAATAAGAGAGTTTAAAGGGTGGAATATGCCTGGCATGATTTCGGAGCCCAAAGGAGGCCAGTGCTTAAACATAGTGACCAGATACAGTGATATTGATAGAGCCAGAGAGAGAAGTTCCTAGAGGGTGTGGCAGGTCACTTCTTCATGGAATGGAGAATCTCTCTGACCATTGAGCTGAGAAGAGACGATATAAGGCGATGAGGGTAACACAAGGAGACCTATTAAGGGGCTCCTGCCATTGGAAGTCAAGAAATAATAGGGTCCCTTGGACAATAGCAGAGGTGGGGAGAAGTGGTCTGATAGATGTATTCTGAAAGGACAGTCCACAGGATTGGCTAATGGTTTGGATGTGGGGTATGAAATAAAGGGATGAGGTAAGAAGCCTGGAGTTGCCATCAATGGTGACAGAGAACACGGTGGGGGAGGGGATGGTTGGGAAGATCAGAGGTTCAGTTTGGAGCACAGAAAATTTGAGCTATTTATTAGATAGACAAAGGGACATAGGAGTACAAAATAGTGTTTTTCCAAATGAACACCCTCCTGGTTAATTTAACCAACCCTTACATTCCCCTGATAGTTATGAATCATATCTGTTCAGTGAGTTGAGTTTTTTGAAGAATGGTCTCACAGGGACAACAGAATGACAAGTGGAAAGCCCCTGGCCTTAGAGGGCAGGCAGGGTGACTCCTGCCCCTGGCTCTCACAGCACTTTCTCTTAGGCCTAATGCATCTCTTCTGCCAAATGTAGATCACAATAAGTTTCTTATAGGATCGTTGCAATTTTCAAATACCGTGGGCTAATGGGGAAATGATCACTTACACTTTTTTTAAACTGGACACTGTCTAAATCTGTCCTCTTTCTAGTCCACTCTGACTTGTGAATAACCACCAGCATTTGACAAGAGTAAGGGGGTCTAACTGACAACTAGCTTTCATGAAACACCCTGAATCCAAATTCTTAAAATTTGGAGGACTCTACTGCAACATCAGTGCAAATTTGGGGGAGCTGGTCCACATGGGTGCAGATTCTTAACATTCCAAACTAGGGAAGTCAGGGAGAAGGACTGGGGTTTTATAAGGTCCAGTCCTAAAGTGGTAGGCCAGTCCTAAATATCGTTAACAATAACACTGTCTCCTAGATACTATTGAAGGCAGTTTGTGTTTGGTTTTCGCAACCCTGCCTACAACCCAGTGTAAATGGATTTCCAGACTCGACTTGAGATGGAAGGCTGGGGTGTATTTCCCACATCCCTATAAGGGATGACTGGTTCTCTCAGACCCAATACCTTTCACACTTTTTTCCCCACCTCCTCCCCGCCCACCTTGGACAAATACTGTGAACTGTGTCCTTGGATGGTGTGGGGACATCACAGCTAGCAGTTTTTTGTTTACCCCAAAGCCAGGAGCCACTAGGTCCTTGGCCTGAAGCCTGACCTGCCTCTTCTGATTAGGTCAGGGCAGAACATAAGGATGAGGAAATGACTTTCAGCCTGACCTCTAAGTCTCGGCTGGCGTCAAGTTTATTGTTTTGTGCAGACTTTTCTGTTGACATTTTTGGACTGCCCCTTTTGCAAACTGAAAAAAAAAATAACTAGAGGTCAATGAGGGAGGAGGAATAGGGGAAGGGAGGTCACCAATATGAGCCAGGAGATGTGAAAATTACATATAAACTAAGAAGTGCTATAGGGATGCTGGTTATTACTAAGGAAACTTCTGATCTCCTTATCCTTTTATAACACTGAACAGTATGCAAGGAGACAAATTGCGCTGATCCCTCCTGCTTGTGCAAACCTCTTGTTTGCAGGTGCTTCCCAGGTAATGTTTTCTATCTGAGCTGTCAATCAGAGGCAGTCAGTTCACCCACAAGCACCAATGCTCATGAAAAAGAAGTATAAATTCTTTAGACTTGCCTGGAACTTGTAAGCTTTCAGTATAGTACGTGGTGTGTTCTGTGCATCAGGAGAGGAACTAGTACTACTGGCTGAAATCTAGTCCTTAACTGACAAACAGCAGGACTGAGATAAACTACTAATAATAATAACACCTGTTACTTGTTCAGAGTGAGGCACTAGGCTAAGTGATTTACATTTTATTTTACTTAAAGCTCAAACAAATCCATAAACTGGAAATAATTATTCCTACGGTAAGGATGAAAAAAAAAGCCAGAAATTTAGGAAAATATTAAGGAACGTCCCTCAGATCAAGCAGATCATAAGTAACAGTAATGGGAATATGACAAGTTTATTGAACCCCAAATCCTTCTATTTTTTCTGTATTTTTACCCTGTATAATTGCATGAATCTGCAAATATGCCTGAAATTGCAAAATCAAATTAACAAATTAAGATATTAAATGAAAATTAAAGTCCTATGCAAAAATTAAATAATATAAAATTTTATAATACAAAAAATTCTTTTAAATTTTTATAGTATTTTTATAAAATTTTTCTATGACTTAGTGACTTTATTTCTATTCCCCACTGTTGTCTTTTTTTAATATTTATTTTTTATTTTTAGGTGGACACAATATCTTTATTTTATTTTTATGTGGTGTTGAGGATGGAACAAAGCACTCCACGCATGCCAGGCGAGCACACTACTGCTTGAGCCACATCCCCAGCCCCCCACTGTTAGTCTTTTTAAGACTGTGTATACACACCCCACACACATCTCTGTTTGTGTATCTGAGCTAATTTGTGGGTAATCTTAGGATGCTTCCCCCTTTTAGAATCTCTTTCACTCACATTGTCTATGTAACTCCTTTCCAATTTCTTTCTTTCTCTTTCTTACCTTATCTCTGTCACTTATAGGCCCTAGCATAATGCTAAAGTATATTTTTATTGTGTTCATGAAAAGGAGTTTTTGCTGTTTTTAATTTTAGGATGGCTTTAAAATGACACGAAATTAACTTCCTTTTATATTTTGCGTTTTACAGGTGTGGTCTGCTTTTTGGTGTGTTATTTGTGTTCACATTTGTCTTCTTTTTGATTGTAAATCTTTGCTGCACAGGGGAAGTGTCTTTCTTGTCTTCTTACATTCCACAAGATCTAACAAAGACTTTCTAATAAAAATGTACTGCATGAACCAAATAAAGTAATTAAGAATCAAAACCTAGTGCCTGTCAGTGTTTTCCTAGCAATTGATGGGCCGGAAGAGACGGGGGCGAGAATAACACACCATCTTACTGAAACTGACTCGATTCTGTCTCCAACCTTGACCGGGCAGACCCCACTAGATACCGTTGACGTGGGGCAGAGCGGACACCGAGCTCAAACCTGTCTTACCTCAGCGACTCCGAACCCAGGAACCGCTTCAATTTATCCTTCAGGAAGGCGTTGGGGACAAGGTGGCCAGAGGTGCCAGTCGATTGTCTAAATCTCGGCTCTATCCTGCCCCGCCCCGGTGCGCCTTCATCTTGGGAACCTAGAGCAGAACTGGCCAACCGAAAAGAGCGCTGCACCGGCCACCCTGCTTCGTGACCGCGCGGACCCCTGAGCAGCTCCGCCACCGCATCCCCCTCCTCCCCACTCCCAGGCTCCCCTTTCCTTTGCCCGTGGCCCTCCGCGGCCCCAGCCCCCTGTGCAGAGTTTCCCGCCGATTTTGTCCCCTCCTGGGGCTCCAGCCCCAGGTTCCCATCTTAGCCCCTTGGGCACAGCGTCCCACCATGCTGTCCCCTCTGGGGATCTAGCCCCGAGTTCCCACACCTGCTCCTGGACAAAAGTTTCCCACGCACCCTAAACCCTTCCAGGGGCTCTATCCCCAGGTTCTTGCTCCTGTCCCTGGGCCAGGTTTCCCCCGCTTGCGTACCCTCCGGGCGCCCGCACCCTTGAGGGGACACCCTTAGTACCAGCGATTGATGCGTCCCGCCCCATCTGCAGGTGACAGACTTCAGTGTCCTTACGTGAAAAGTAGGGACATAAGATCTACCTTATTTACCCAAAACGTGAAAAGGCGACCTAAAAAGACTGAAGTCCGTGATAAAGTTTATTACTAATCGTCAAGCTTGTTGGTATTATTATTGTCGTTGTTACTGAGCTACCGTCCTCAGCGACCCAAGGGCAGCGTCTACTGGCGCCCGCCCCGCCCCGCCCCATCCTCCCGGCCTGGCAGCTCAGCTTGCGGACCCGCTGGGGACTCCGCCATCCCGCTCGCGGCTGGAGCCCGGTGGCCTTCCCGAAGGAGACTTGAGACGCCCGGCGACATGGCAGGCGGCCACCGCCTCCTGCTGGAGAACGCGCGGCAAGTGGTGCTGGTGTGCACCCGCGGCGAGCGCTTCCTGGTGGGCGATGCTCTGCGCAGCCTAGCGGTGCTGGAGGGCGCCAGCCTGGTGGTGGGCACGTAAGTGGCCGGCGCCCAGGGGGAAGGCTGCTAGCGCCCAGCGCCCAGGCGCTGATCAGCATGGGCTCCCGCAGCTTGCTGTGTGCTTTCAGGGGAACCGGTTAAAAGCTTTCCTGCAACCTAAAGAGACAGTGGCAATCCTGTCCTTTAGGCACCTGGTGTGAACATGTTGGACTGCTTTGGGTTGTCTTCCGTGAAAAAATGTGCTCAAACTGAGGGCTCCATTAGAATACATCAGGTCCCCGCCTGTGTTCTAAAATACCACTGTCCCAACAATCAGAGGGGTTTCATGGCCTCTTCTTGGAGGTGCAGCCAGGGACCACCTTTGTCAGATGGACTGGGATCCATCCTTCCTTCCTTCCTTCCTTCCTTCCTTCCTTCCTTCCTTCCTTCCTTCCTCCCTCCCTCCTTTCTTTTCTTTTTTTCTTAAATAGGTTTTTGACTCCACCCTCTATTTCCCGACTTTTTTTTCCCCTTGTACCGGGGATTGAATCCGGGCCCATATCCCCAGCTCTTTTTTATATTTTGAGACAGGATCTCGCTGAGTTGCTTAGGACCCGCTAACTTGCTGAGGCTGGCTTTGAATTCACAATCCTTCTGTCTCTGCCTCCCAAGTCTCTGGGGTTACAGGGGTATGCCACCGCACTCAGCATATTCCCAGACCTTTAAATCAACACCTCTGGGGATGGAGTTCTGAGATCTGAACATTTAAAAAAGCACCTCTCCGATGCCGGTGAGCACGCTGAAGTCCAATAACAGGAAGAAAAATGACAGTGACTTTGGGTGACAGGGATCAGGATTTGGTCTGATTAAGGTATTTTCGGTTATTCTCTCTTAACCTTCTGAATTCTGGGTCAAATGTGAATAAAAGAAAAAAGTTTGGGAGGGTGACCTGGAGTAGGATTGGAATGGGTTTTGCAACCTATCCCCAAGATGCCGGCTAAGATCCAACCAGATGTGGCAAACAGACCTCTGCTTATCTGAGGCTGCTCACTATTGCATAAGAGCCCCGATTATAGGAACTTTGGTTTTGTTTTCAATTAATATGGGAATAAAAACAGTGTCACTCTCGAAAATTTGTTAAAATCAGAATTGCACCCTTGCTTGCAAAGTTAAGACAATATCTACCCCAGGTAGAGAAATAGAGGATCCAATATGATATCTTGGATTCCAAGACATTCTATATCATGTTCACATCAAAACCATATAAAACAAAAATGAAACAGGAGGCAGTTGGCTTTGGTTTGGGAAGTGGTTTTCTTGCCTTGAATCTGCTCTATGGTTAGAATTTGTTGGATTTATTATATTAAAATGCAGTTACAGGAATATTCAGAACTTTACTGCTCAAATATGGCTGGTACTGGATTGAGTGAATCATTTAGGTAATTGTCTCAAATTTTCACATCATTTCCTTATGCAGAACCTGAGTGTTCAAAGACAACCTGATCCTGCTTCTTTTTTGGTAGACAAGAAAGCTGGGAGTGAGAGTGAGGGGAAGAGGGGTACAGAGAGGACTGGAAGAAGTTCCATTTCAAACTCTGGAAATGAATGGGTTTTGATGGTGTGTTCTGATTAGAATGAATCTCACCCAGTGAGATCACCAGCAGTCAATTCCTTCTAGGCTCTAGACAGAGAAAACAAGTCCTGAAAAACAGAAAACAGTTGGAGGAATTCCAGAAACTCCCCCTTCCTAAAATTATCTCAGTGATTATCTGCCATGCAGCCTAAATTCCACCGGTGGGCTGTGTGTGTGTGTGTGTGTGTGTGTGTGTGTGTTTTGTGGCTAATCTTGAAGAAGTACCAGAAGATGTCAGAAGAGAAGCACCAACTGTCACTTCCTTTACAAGTGTCTCCTCCAAAGGCTAAAACCAAGATGGAAATGTCATAATGAACAAAAGAAGTAGGAATGAGAATATAGATTCATCCACAAGGGCCATTTGTTATAGTTCTTCAGAGAGGCAAAATAAATTAAAAAAAAATGGAAATGTTGAAGCAAAAACCTATGAGTGCTTTGTCTTCCCTCTTGGAAGCCAGTAAGAGTCAGGTAGATGATGAATCTAAAAAAAAACAGGACCTTTTCATTCATTCATCAAACATGTACTGAGCTGTCAGATAGTGCTGAGCCTTAGGGGTGCAAAATGGCTGAGACTGGTCCTGCCCTCAAAGAGCCACTTCTATTGAGGGACAAGGTGCATGAAAAGATCATTGTGATACTGAATGGTAAGCGCAAAGGTAGAGAGGTATGTGCAGGGTAGGGCTTTTAAGAACTGTGCAGAGAGCCACCTAACTGATGGGAAGGGTGTCATATTTATCATATTTATCTGTAAATTAAGAACAGTTTTTAGGTTTTGAGACAGCCTATATGTCAATTCTAAAGTTTCACAAAACTCTTGGAGAGCCACTTGAAGCACTGAGCTGCCCTTGTCATCCTCATTATTATTTTCATGTGAGGACGGTACTGCACGTAGCAGTAGGCTTACTGGTTTGCTTTGCTGCTTTCAGAAGATTCTGTAGAATTTTCCTTTCTAAACTTTGCAAAATAAGAAGTAAATAAAACAATAGCAACATACCTATTCTCTTTTTCCCTTAAAAAATGACCTGTAGGTATATTTATTGTGGAAAAGTGAGAAGTAACAAAGAATCCCAGCACTATGTACATTATAATGCACCAATGAAAAATATGGAAAAAAAAGAAAAAGTGAAAAAAATACAGATGCATGAGAAGAAAAAAAAATGAATCACTCAAATTCAACATTTAGTGAACCAATGTTGACATTTAGGTGCTTCTCCTTTCAGATGTTTTTCCATTTAGATAGAATTGCATAAACATACATTTTATAATGAAAAGAAATGTATGTATACTGTTTTTATACCCTGGATTTTTTTTGTATGTCACTTAGTAATAAATAAACAGTGAAAATCTCACCAATAGTTAACACTAATAGATACCTTTGTCATAGTTAATGTCTACTTAAAACATTTTTAGGAGAATACTTTTTTTTGTTTTCTTTGATAACTGTCCTTGGACACAGCCTTTGTTCAAACATATATTTTGGAATCTACTGATGAATGAGTAGCCATAGATGGTAGATAATCATGTGATTAGTGTGGTCAGGAAGAGGACCCAGTGACCTCAAAAGTCTCCTCCCACACAAACTGAGCTGTTAGAGATTTACTTCTTAGGTTTGGCCCTGTTGAAACACAATCCCTCCTAAAGCAGTGTCAGTCATTAACTCTTTTCTGACGGTAGTTTATCAGGTCTTTTGTCCCATGGCTCCTGGTTAGTGCAATTTCCTGCCAAATGGGACATGGTTCTTAATAGAGAAGGAGAAAAATAGTCCTGAGAGCATTTTCTTTGACCTTTCCCATTCAAGGGTCAAATTCTAACCCTGCTGGTCTTTTCCACCACCAGGTGGAAAGTCTTTCCCAAAGACTCACCGCACACTAGGAAGACTATTGAATTGGGCTAGATGAAAGCTGTTAGTGACAAAGAGTTGTATAACTCAGGATATAAAACCAAATTTCAAATTTTAATTTCTTATTCTATCCTTAAATGTGTCCTCCTCATAACACCCACCATCTCCCCTCTCCCCTGCCTGTTTCATAATAGCTATCTTTTTATCCAGTTTCTGCTCTCCTCTCTTATATTGTTAGGTTACCCAAGCCTTTTCAGTCCCATTTCTGAATCTCTTATCTTCACCTGCTTTTCGAGGCACTTTCCACCTCTCAGGATGAGAGCCCTGAACGTCTATTTTGGAAACACTAATTTGTAGTGAGTAACAAAAACCCAAATTAACAATGACTGAAACAAAGTAGAGGTCTATTCTCTGCTACTCCAGAAGTAAGACTCAGGGCTAGTTGATGGCAACACTGTGGAGTTGTCAGGATCATAGCCAGCTTTTTACAGAGACTACATGATGCAAAATGGCTGATCCATCTCTAGTTATGGATTTCATTCCAGCCAGTGAGAACAGGGGGTGAAAACAATCCTACTGGCTAGAATGTGGTCACATGGCCACACATGGCTAAAGGGAGCCTGGGAAATGTAGTTTTTATTCTGCATGGTCCTGGCTTAAGGTTCTAGTACTGTGAGAAAAGGGGACATTGGTTTGGGAACAAGCAGCAATCTCTGCTACACATGGTTTGACTTTCTGTCTTCAGTATAGCTTGAATCACTTTCCCAAAGACTCAGGCTCAAGAGGGAAGCAAAATAAATGTTAACTGACATCAAGGCATCCCAAAGCATAGTTTAAATAACTAGTCAAATTTATCACAAGATTTCCCCTAAATTTAGTAATATTTCTTTATTTTTCTTCAGTGATGGGTTTATAAAAGCTATTGGTCCTGCTGATGCTATCCAAAGACAGTTTTCCGAAGACACTTTTGAAGAAAGAATTGACTGCTCTGGGAAATGTATCCTACCAGGTACTTGCCTGTTTTTCACAAAGCTCTGAAAGCATTTTTATCAGTTAGTCTAAGAACATAAAGAGGAAGAATAGCAGATTGTTTTAAACAGGGTCTTACAATAGTATGAAAAAATAATAATGAGTCCATGGATTGAATTTTTCTTATTGAATGCCTAGCTGCTTTATAAACATGAGTTCATGAGTTCATGTTGAATCCTTGTAACTACCGTGTGAGGTAGATGTTATTATCTATGTGTTACAGATTAGAAAACTGGAGGTTAGGGGTGAAATATCTTACCCAAGATTGCAGAACAGGTAAAGGAAGAGCTGGGTATCAAATCCACTCGTTTATTCCACTTCTTCCCACTCACATGCTAAAGAGAAATCAGCTGTGTTGTGTTCAAGTTCCGGAATAGTTGGAATAACTTTTTAATCCATTGCATAGGGGAGGCAAGCAAGGCTGTCTCTAATGTTATAAATACTCTAAATTTGTATGAAGACCTAGAGACACTGTAGATATTTCACCCCAGTTCACTTTTAACACAAAAAATCAGTTTATTAACTACCATCTATGTTATCTCTCTAGTATGATTTCACCTGAGAGAAATCTCAAAAACTTTGAGTTTGATGCAAACATAAGGGCTTTATTTTAATTTTATTTATATAAAACTATATATACATTTTAATAAAATTAATTTATATAAAATTTTTATAGTTTAAAAATGTGTATTGTCACATCTGACAGAATCTTTATGTTCTGATTTTTGGGGGCCAGGATACAAAGTCAGGGTGAAATGTCATAAGAAAAAGAAGACCATGATAAGAAACAATCTGGATAGGGACTTTGGATTTAGTCCAATCAGAACCATTTATGAGCTGCTTTAAATATTTGATAACAACACACTTTACTAAAATGTACAGGATAAAGAAAAGTTCCAAGTGATTGCTAAATGTTTTTTCTTAAAGATAGATTCATCTTTCATATTTTTCTTTCTCAAAGTTGCAGTGGGAGTTGAGGGTTGTATTATTGTTCCTTGGTGATACGGTCCTTGGTTTTGCTCAACTAATGGTTTGGACAACCTGGTTTAAAATCTTGTTTGCTGAGCATGGACTTACTGAGTAAAGAAGCTGTACCTCTATATGGTAGAGTTACTTTCTTCCATTAGAATATTCTAGATGAGCCATACAGAGGAAACCTCCCTTACCCCAAGCTGGATGGCCACTACCATGCTTCCCTAAGAGCAGCATGGTGCACACTGTCTGCTGTCGAAGTGCCCTCTGCTTTTAACTCTAAGGTGACCTGATTTATTGATTGCAGGTTTGGTGGATGCCCACACACATCCCGTATGGGCTGGTGAAAGAGTCCATGAGTTCGCAATGAAGGTATGCAATGAATAATGGCAAATCCAAATAAAGCACAAAGTCTTTTTTTCTAAAAAGTTCATAGGCTGTCCACCTTTGCTACATGTTATGTCTTTTTAATAGATATTTTTGCTTGGAAAATGGGAAACAAAAGACAACAAAATGTATTTACAGCTGCCCCAAGTTTTTCTATCATGTGTCGAACTGGCAAACACTTGAAGTAGAATAGCATTTGAAAATTTTTAGCCCTGCCATCCTTTTAGAACAAAGGTGAGCAACTCGCCCACTGATTTTTCCTTTCTTTCCCTTCCCATCCCCCATTCCAAGTCACTACCTACAGGAGCATTTGAAAGAGCTCCAAGAAACGGTTTGAAAATTACCATTCATTGGAGTCAAATGTGGAAAAGTGCTTGACAAAATAATCACAAAAATAAAATGTGCTAAGTTATTCTCTTTTTTAATAAAAAGGAGACTTATTAAGAATTATAAAAGTCTCTGTTAGTTGAATATTATCCTTAGTCAATTCTAAAATCCTTGGTTGGAGCCATTTTCACATTGTTTGGCAGGGGTGGGCCGGGTGCAGCTAAATGGAATTATTTCGGAAAAAAAGGAAAAACTTCTTCAGGTATATTCCTTCTTCAACAAACTAAAGCTGTTTTTAAGACCATTTTATTAAATCAAGAATTTCAGAGCCAAAGCAGCCTTGGAGATGCACAGTCCAGGGCTATCATTATATACATGGAGAAAGCTGGGTCCAGAGTAGAGAAGGTATTTACTGAGGATGGCCCAGCCAGATGAAAACTCTGGCCAGGAGATCTGGGCCCACATAGTCTGTGTCCCACACTCTGTAGTACAGAGTAACTGGAGCCCATGGGACCCCAGGAAGAGCCTCTTTATTTGCTTGAGTGACAAAGGTCAGGCTTCCAAATCTGGTGCCCAAATATTGAGACACGAAAATGGCCCTGGGTCTCTTTAGTGGAGATTTGAAAAATTATAGTGGGGCTCCCTGTGCTTTGTTGTCTCAAACATGCTCAGGGATGTAGGGAGGATTGAGACTTAGCTGGTACACAGTGGGGGCTGACTGGGTTGATAAAATATTGAAATAGTCCTGCAAAGCATTAATTAATTGCTGCTTCCCTGAGATCCCAACTGCCTACACACTATGTCTGCCATCTCTGCCTCTCCAGCACCTTCTTGGGAACCTCTCCCCAGCTCCCTTCAATCTGGCTACTGGCAGACGACTGGGCTTTAGGACAATGTGTGTCCTTTTTTAATTAGTTATTTATTTATTTAAATTTTGGTGCTGGGGATCGTACTCAGGACCTTGTGCATGCAAGGCAAGCACGATACCAACTGAGCTATATTCCCACCCCAATATGTGTCCTTTCTGATCTGGTCAGTTAGTGCTTGTGCCTTATTACTGCTGTTGTTTCTTCTTCTTCTTAACTTTTATTTGCAAAAGTGTGACTAACAATAAATATTTTTAAAATTGTATTTATGCACACACAAACATATAGACAACATAAATTGGCTTTTCTATTGAAATTTTCAAGTTATAAAATTTTGTAAGATGAAGAATTATGGTAAAAAGACTAGCAACATCCATAGGGTGGTTTTTTTCTTTTTAAAATTTATTTGTGGGCTGGGGATGTGGCTCAAGTGGTAGCGTGCTCTCCTAGCATGTGTGAGGCACTGGGTTTGATTCTCAGCACCACATAAAAATAAAATAAAGATATTGTGTCCACCTAAAACTAAAAAGTAAATATTTTTTTAAAAATTTATTTATTTGTTCTAATTAGGCATGCATGACAGCAGAATGCATTTCAATTCATTGTACACAAATGGAGCACAACTTTTGGTTTCTCTGGTTGTACACAATGTAGCATCCCAACATATGTGTAGTCATACATGTACCTAGGGTAATGATGACCATCTCATTCCACCATCTTTTCTACCCCCCCCCACCCCCGCATCCTCCCCACCCTCCCGTCCCTTTGCCCAGTCAAAGTTCCTCCATTTTCCCATGACTCCCCACTCCCTGTTTTGGATCAGCATCCACTTGTCAGAGAGAACATTTGGAGATTTTGTTTTTTGGGGATTGATCGGCTTACTTCTCTTAGCATGATATTCTCCAACCCCATCCATTTACCTGCAAATGCCATAATTTTACTCTCTTTTAATGCTGATTAATATTCCATTGTGTATATATACCACAGTTTCTTTATCTATTCACCTATTGAAGGGCATCTAGGTTGGTTCCACAGTTTAGCTATTGTGAATTGAGCTGCTACAAACATTGATGTGGCTGCATCACTAATAACATGCTGATTTTAGGTCCTTTGTGTAAAGACTGGAGGAGTGGGATAGTTGGGTCAAATGGTGGTTCCATTCCAAGTTTTCTAAGGAATCTCCATACTGCATTCCAGAGTGTTTGCACCAATTTGCAGTGCCACCAGCAACGTATGAGTGCACCTTTCCCCCCACATCCTCATCAACACTTATCATTGCTTGTATTCTTGATAATTGCCATTCTGTCTGGAGTGAGATGAAATCTTAGGATTAGTTTTGATTTGCATTTCTCTAATTACTGGAGAAGTTGAACATTTTTCATATATTTGTTCTTCAATGGTATATCTTCTTCTGAGAAAGTGACTGTTGGGTTCCTTAGCCCAGTTATTGATTGGGTTATAATATCCCCCATGGAGGTAGGTTCTATGCCTTGTCTGCAACCTCCCCTGACCGAGCGGTGTGTTCAGTTGGCAGGAGCCACATACATGGATATTCACCAGGCTGGAGGCGGGATCAACTTCACGGTGGAGCGCACTCGCGAAGCCTCGGAGGAGGAGCTGTTCGGATCTTTCCGGCAGCGGCTTCAGTGCATGATGAGGGCTGGCACCACGCTGGTGGAGTGCAAGAGCGGATACGGCCTCAACCTGGAGACCGAGCTCAAGATGCTGCGCGTGATCGAGCGTGCCCGGCGAGAGGGGCGCATCGGCATCTCGGCCACTTACTGCGGGGCTCACTCAGTGCCCAAGTAATCTCAGCGGGTGGGATCAGGGTGTAACTCAGATAGTGGGAATGAAGCGGAGACTGCGTTCCCCGAGGATGGAGATGCATCAGTACTTTAGCTCTTGCAAGGAGATAAGGCTTTGGAAAGATGTTCTGCTTCTATGACCAGACATTTAGGACAGGTGGTTTGAGGATGGAGCTACATTCAGTTCTATCAGTTTCATCAGTGTTGGAATAACACGAGTCGTTTCAAGCTCTTTTGGTTTGCAAAAAGAAATGACCCTTTGTAGTCCTTTGAGACTATAGATGCTAATGTGAATAATTTTATCTGATAAACGAATTCACATAAAGCAGTAAAGTAGCATAAAAGTAAAGGTTAATAGTAAGATCTTATAGAGATCAAACCTTGTAGTCTAGATGATTCAGAGAACTGCCCCCCCACTGTTAGAAGAACTAAAAAAAAAAAAAAATTAACATTAAATTATAAATATTCCAGGGATCTTTGTTGTAAGTTTTAGCATTTATATTTCTGAAATTATTAAAACTTAAAACTTCACTGAGATATTTTTACACAGCCTGTCTATGGAAAACAGTAGATTTTTCCCCCAAATGAAATAGAAAGTGTATGAGAGTCTGTCCTCCCTGCACAAACACAGAATAAGCAATGTGGTATGGCAAAGTCTCAGACTTTGGAGTGATAAAACTTGAGTTTGAATCCAGCTTAGTTCCCTCTAGCTGAGTGACTTTGAAGATGTGACAGCTTTTTGGAACATGAATTACACATCTGTACACAGAGCTACATACACCCTATTCCTTAGGATTGTCTTGAGAAGTAGAAATAATTTATGTAAGTGCCCATCTCCTCATCATTGACCTCTGTCCACCCTCCAAATGGTGTCACTGAGTGAGAGCTTTCTGTGTACCCAATACAGGGCTGAGGTGTTGCAGAAATTCTCTCCATCTGCCAATGACCCTCCAAGTTCTGTGTTCTTGATTCCCTAAGGTGCAAATCACAGCTAAATAGTATGTCCAAAGTTATATCATCAGCAAGAGGTAGAGCTCTGTGTTTGACTGTAAGAGTCCAGTCCTTTCCAAGATAGGAAGCATTTCAAGGTCTCTTATTGTCCTCTTTGGCCAAGAGAGTGAGACAGGAAGCCTTAGCAGGTGCTTCAGGAAACATCGTGGAGAAAGCAGAAGAAAAAGGCAGGGTGATAACTAGGGCCTAGGTCATGGAACCACAGTTGGGTTTTCAGGGAATTGTCCAGGATGTCTTAAAAGGGTCCTTGATGGAAATTCACCTTTGCAGTCAGGTGGCCTTACTGGCATCCCCAAAGGCAGCATGGGTGTTTTAGCATGGCTGAGTAATTTGCATCTCTGTCTATGAGGTTGGTACATACAGAAACCTCAATACCTCTGCTGTGTTGGCATGGCTCGGCTATAAAGAGTCCTGAGTTTTAGTTTTTTTGAGGTTAGAGGTTATTTACCTATACTTCAAATGCCAGATAACTGTGTATATATATATATATATATATACATGTATACATGTATACATATATATGTATTTTGTATACAAATATATACACACATGTACATATATTTGCCCATGATAATCTCATTTTCTTCCATCAGAGGAAAAACTGCCAAGGAAGCTGCTGATGACATCATCAAGAACCATCTCCCAAAGCTGAAGGCACTTGGCAGAGATGGGGAAATACGTGTTGACAATATAGACGTGTTCTGTGAGAAGGGCGTCTTTGATCTGGATTCTACCAGAAGGATTCTTCAAAGTGGAAAAGAGATGGGGTTACAGATTAACTTCCATGGGGATGAGCTGCACCCAGTGAAGGCTGCTGAGGTATGGCTGAACTTTGGCACATCCTTGTCAATGTGCGTTCTTGCACATTCCTGCCATGGGAAACCTAATCCATCTGTTCAAAGTCGCCTTCTGAAAAGATAGAGAGTGGGGAAACTTGTTTGAACAATGTGCAGATTGGTCTGGTTGGGCCTGGAAAACCCTGACCTCTACTGAAAAACTTACTTTTTTTTTTTCTTCTGCAGATCATTTACTTCTTTTCTTTTGGATGCTGGGGGTTGAACCCAGGACCACACTCATGCTAAGCACATGCTTTACCACTGAGCTACATCCCCAGCCTGATCATTTACTTTTATTATTATTGGCTGGTGGTACTCGTAGAGAAAGAAGTATCTCTGTGATCTCAGTTATTAAACTCACAACATATTTTGGTTGGCACACAAAGCCACACTGGCACAGTACAGTAATTTCACATGTAGCTTCTAGAATCTTCTTGTGGGCAGCATCTGGATCAATGCTGATGGAGCACACCATGAACAGTCACAAGATGGTTTCAAATCTACCTGTCTTGCCCAGGTTGAGTTATTCATTCTTTCAACCTGTGTGCTGGGCACTGTTCAAGGTGTGACGAATTCAGTAGTGATTAGGACAGTCCCTACAACTGTGAATCTAGACATCTCTCTTCTGAACCCTAGAGCTTAAAAACAATTGCCCTGGGTACATAAATACAGCTGCAGACATTCCACCTGCATCTCAAGCACAGCATGGCCAACTAGATGTCTTAATATCACTTCCAGCCTTGTCTTGTGCTTTCTGCCCTAGTGGACAACGCCATCATCCATCTGCTGCCTAAGCATCATTTTGACTCCTCCATCTACCAACGAATCACCAAAGCCTCCCAATTCTTCTCCTATGTCCATTTCTCTCTCCTTACTGCCTGGTTCAAACCACCTTCAGCTCCCACCTGGATTCCTCAATAACTGTCCTCTTGGCCTCCAATCTAGCATCCACCTTAATCCCTTCCCTTAACCCATTCCCTCAATGCAGTTTAACCTTCCCCTCCATCCTTCCCCTCCATTGCTTAGACCACATAAAGGATGAACATGGTTCGAATTAGAACAAATTCCAAACACAGTGTGTGACTTACCAGGATCTGACCCTTCCTTACCTCTCCACCTCCTTCCTCCTTTCACTCCATCCAGCCTCTCTGTCATGAACCAGCCACAAAAATCTACTCTCAATACCCCATGCCTTTGTACATACTGTTCCTTTCATCTGAAGTCCCCTTTCTCTGACTAGTCCTAACTCCCGTGTTTTATCTTAGCTACTTTTCTGGGACTTCTTCCTAGCCCTCTCTAAGACTAGGTTATGGCCTCTCCCAGTCCTTATCCCACTGGGTTAAAATCGCCTCTGGACTATAGCACCCTGAGCGTTGCACCCAATCCTCGCCCAATCCTGGAGGTCAGCACAGCGCCCAGAGTACAGATGGCCTTTCATAAATCAATACTTGTTGAAATTTTGTTGAATGAACGCAAACTGGATGGTCACCAAGATACTGCTAGATTAAATCAATAGAAGTCAATACCCATAACCAGCAAATCGAGTTTAGAAGAGTGAGGGTGAGTCCAAGGTGTAGAAGAAACTTCCCCTGGGAAACATAATCAGTCCTGTGGACCACCACACTCCCCAGAGCCCCAATTCAAAACTTCTTAGGCCAGAGCAAGCTGCTGAAGAAGGGGTCAGCTCTTCCCTGTCCTGGATGTGGCAATACAGCCTCCCTAGGCCACATCAATGTCAGCCTACTCTCCTGTCCATGTCACCTGTTAGCGGGGGCTCTTGTGTGTGCAAACTCACTGGTTGGGAATATAGGACATGAAGATATTCAGCTGAGGGGACCTTTAAAGCAATGCTTCCACCGTCATCAGAGCCGCCCTTTTTCTTTGTGTGCTTCTAATAATCTAGCTCCAGCTTCTCACCTGGAGGGAAATCAAGTTCAAGTTGATAATCTCAAATTATTGATATAATTCCACATTTTTGAAGTGTATTCTCCCAACTGGTATGTTTCGCAGAGTGCAATGACATTCCCAAAACACACATCTCTGTTGTCTTTTTATGATGCTATGATAATTATAATTTATTTCCCTCTGATCTGTAAGCTTCGTAAAAATTTCTGTTTCAGAACTGTCTGAAAGCATTTTTGTTTAAAACTAGTTTTAAAAGTAGCACCTAGCAACAGGGCATGGTGGCACACACCTGTGATTTCAGCAACTGGGGAGGCTGAGACAGGAGGATTAAAAATTTGGACCGGCCTCAGCAACTTAGTGACACCCTGTCTCAAAAGCAAAAAATAGAAAGGGTTGGGGTGTGATTCAGTGATGAAGTGCCCTTGGGTTCAATCCCTGGCACCAAGAAGAAAAAAAAAGTAGCACCCAGCTAATTTTCAAATATATGTCAATTATAAACCATGTGTCCATTGTGGGGCTTGTGCTTATTATAAGAGGGAGTTGACGAGAAATCTTACTAATAGAGTGTTGTTTTCTTTTTGTAGGAAAATCGGTTTCAGGGTGCTGTATGCTTTGTCGTTGTGCTGTTTGTTAAACCTTTTCCTCTCTGCCCATCCTGCTTAGCTTGGAGCTGAACTGGGAGCCCAGGCAATCAGCCACCTGGAAGAAGTGAGTGATGCAGGCATCACTGCCATGGCAACGGCCAGGTGTGCCGCGGTCCTTCTGCCCACCACGGCGTACATGCTGAGGTGAGAAGACCGGTGCTCACCCCGACACGCAGGTCAGCTGTGGGGACATAGACTTCTAAGGAGCCTAAATTTTATGGCACGGCCCCTACAAATCCTGAGAAATGCAAATGACGGAAACTAGCTCAGGAAGATGCCAATTCTGGATAAATGTTCTTAAATTAATTACCCTCGGGAAGGAGCTTAGCCCAATTGCCTTTGGGTGGTGAGATTGTTGAGGAAGGTGATGCCTTCTTTTTCCTTTCTTCCCCCTGGATTTCAGAAATTTCCAGTGTAAAAAATCAGTATGCATTACTTTTATCATCAGAAAATAATGAAACAGCAGGGCTGGAGCTCAATGGCAGAGCACTTGCCTAGCATGTGTAAGGCCCTGGGTTGCCAGGAGTGGTGAACGCACGCCTGTAATTCCAGCGGCTTGGGAGGCAGATGCAGGAGAACCACAACAGCCAGCCTCAGCAACTTAGAGGCCCTAAGCAATTTAGCAAGACCCTGCCTCAAAATTAAAAAAAAAAAAAGTTTTGGGGATGCAGCTTAGTGTTTAAGCACCCCCTGGGTTAAATCCCTGGTACCAAAAAAGAAAATAATGGAACAGGTTCTATAATTTTAAGAACAGGCATAAGATCTTAGGGATATTCATTCAACAAGACCCAGAATCTGAATGAGATGTTTTCTAAACGGGTGCTGATAGTCCCATGATTGAGTACCAGAATCCTCAAGACCCCTGGGAGTGGGAGGATGAGGACACATGTGAATTAAACTTTGTAAAAACTTCCCAGAGATTTTGCTGTGGGCCCTCTATGAACTGAATACTCCTTGCCCACTGCTCTAGTTCTGCTGAACATGAGATCTGAGGTCCTTTGACCCTTTCCGTGGTACCACTTCCGTGACAGCTGCCAAGTCAGTGGTTTGGGAAGCCAGCATTCAAGAGTCAGTTTATTAGCTGGATATGGTGGCACACACCTGTAATCCCAGAGGCTTGGGAGGCTGAGGCAGGAGGATCGAGAGTTCGATCTAATCCACCCATGCTCCTAATCATCCTTCGATACACAGAGCAGCCCGCCACAACAGAGAAACATCCAGAACGAGTGAGACATGAACTGTGCCAAGGTTGAGAAAGGCCAGGCTTCAAAGTATTCTTAAGAGGGAAAAGAAAGGAATATCTCAGTGGTTTTTTTTTTCCCCAATGTATAGGATTACATACACACATCTTTATTATTAATATTTACTTAGTTTAAGAGTGGATGCGATGTAGGCTCCAATCAGAAAATGCCAGTAACAGTTCTTGGTTTGACCAACTGCTTCTCTTACAGATCTGGATAGCATCAGTCGAAGTCATCAGTCAATATTTAATTTGGCTAATCCTCCACCATTCAAGGAATAAATTCTTATGCACACCAAAAAAAGTCTTTCTTTCCTTTATCTTTACTCTCTTAACATGGAACAAAAGTCTGAGACCTTGGCACTGGTAGGCTGATAGGCTTGTGTCCTGTTTGGACCACAAGGGCAGTTAAAGAGGCCTCACTCCTCTCTGACTTCTCTGTTCCTGTATTTTTTTCTGAGAAATATAATCAGGAGAGACCCTCAGGGACCCCTGCTGTACCCTGAGCTCCCTGTTTTTGTTGTTGTTGTTTGGTTTTTTTTTTTTTTTTTTGTACTGAGGATTAAACCCAGGGGTACTTAAACACAGGCCACATCGCAAGACCTTTTTGTTTTTTATTTTGAGACAGGGTCTCACTAAGTTGCTTAGGGCCTTGCTAAGTTGCTGGGGTTGGCTTTGTCCTTGTGATCCCCCTGCCTCAGCCTCCCGAGCTGCTGGGATTACAGGCGTGAGCCACTGCGCCTAGCCTGAGCTCCTTCTTGATTCTCTCTCTCTCTCTTTTTAATGTATATATTTTTAGTTGTAGGAGGGAACAATACCTTTATTTTATTTTTATGTGGTGCTGAAGATCGAACCCAGTGCCCCACACATGCCAGGTGAATGCTCTACCACTGAACCACAGCCCAGCCCTTGATTCTCATTTTGACAACAACATTACCTAGTGCCACTGAACAGCTTCCTTTCACTGTGTATTTTGTGAATATTTGCATATAATATTTATTCAAGAAATACTTGCCTTCATTTTTAATGGAGCCCCTTTAATACTTTAAGAGGCTCACTCCCCTCCCCCTAGTAGTTCTAGGAGGGAAGAGACAACTGGAATGACCTCCAGGGAAGTTCAAAGCTACAGTCATCCCTCTGATCTGCAATTTTGCCTTCTGAGATTTGCTTATTCCTGGTCAACTGTGTTCCGAAAATATTCAATGAAAAAAATCCCAGAGAGAAACAAGTTTTAGTTTTAAATAATTTTTATCACAGAATTTCGTTATGATTGTTCTAGTTAAGTTATTGTTGTTCATCTCTTACTGCACCTAATTTATGAATTCAACTTTGTCATAGGTAGGTATATATAGGAAATGCACAGTATATATTGGGATTTGGTACTATCTGAGATCCTAGGCATCCACTCGGGTTCTCAGACTGTATCACCTGTGGATCAGGGAGAGGCTGACTACATTTCCTTGTACCCACCTCTGCTTCACTTACATGTCATAGTTGGGGAACATTTTCAGTGGTCCTACAAGTTATCATCCCAGACTGGAAATACTTCAAGGACAGGAGTCGTCTCTGCACTTCTCATAATTTATTAATTTACACACCAACCTGTGTGCTGAGGCCTGCTGGCTGCCAGGTACTATTCTAAGTACTGGGGATGCAACAATAAATGCCAAAGTTCTGGTCCTGAAGGAGCCTGTCTTCTAATGGGAGGCAACAGACAAGGTACTGAGACAAATGAATATATAAACCTTGGGTGATGCAAAGTGCTATGAAAAAGTCAAAGTCAGGTAGATGAATAGGGAGTGCTGGTGGGGAGGGGGCTTTGATGTGAGGTTGGGCTGTGATGTTCTTAGGTTGGTCAGGAAAAGGCTTTTTTTTTTTTTGTACTAGGGATTGAACTCAGGGGCACTCAACCACAGAGCCACATCTCCAGCCCTATTTTTTATATTTTATTTAGAGACAGAGTCTCACTGAATTGTTCAGCACCTCGACATGGCTGAGGCCTCCCTAGCTGCTGGGATTATAGGCATGCGTCACTGTGCCTAGCAGGAAAAGACTTCTGGATGAGGAATGTTCCAGCACAGATCTAGAAGTGAAGGAGTGAGCTATCCTCTCTCTCTCTCTCTCTCTTTTTTTAGAAGGGCGGGATTGTTTAGGAGAGTGTTAGGAGAGTGTTCTGGACCCCAACAGATGGCCAGTGAAATGGTGGAAGAACACTGGGTGTTCTGGGAGCAAGAGTGAGGCCCGAGAGGCCCGAGTAAGGAGAAGGCAGTAGCTGAGGGCAGAAGGAAGGGCAGACTTGATCAGCTTTGAGTCCTGGGGAGCCTGTAAGATCATGGGAGGCCACTGGAACATTTTTCAAAAGCTCAGTGACATGACCTGACTTATTTTTCCAAAAGCTTCCTCTTTCCGCTCTAAGGAGATTAGATATTAGGGTTTTCCTGAAAGCAGGAAAACCTGTTAGGATGGTCTTACAAATATCCTGGCAAGAGGGGAAGGTGACTTGGATCCATGCTGGTAGCAGGGGGTCTGCATATTATTTGGAATCTGGATATATTTTTAAGGCAGAGCCAGCAAGATTTTTCTGATGAATTGCCCTGTGAGAAAAAAGATTAAAAATAGGAGTCAAGGATGACGAAGGTGCCACCCAGCACTCGCTAACTGGATGCTTTCTGAATGGCTGGCTGCATCTATGACCCACCATGTTTCACTGGGCACCGTACATGAGATGGTACTCTTTCCATTGAAACTACCAAGAAGTGCCTGTATTTGGGGGAAGGAAACAAAAGATTAATGCAACAAAAACACAATAATGAAAAATTAATGAATGCCTCCAGCAAGTCTATTGAGCAGCTGTTTGTGCCAGACACGGTACCGGTGCTGGGGGTGCATTGATGAATGAACGGATAGATGGTCTGGGCCTTTAGGAACTTGAGTCTAATGCACAAATTCTGGTAAATGCAAACAGACCTGGGAGAGTTCTGAAGAGAGCTATTGTTCTTGGCTGGAGTAAGGGGTGTCGGGGAGAATGGGCAGCAAAGGGCAAGACGTGTTCTGGGTTTAGATGACTGCATCTTAGGCATTTTAGACGAGGAGAATGGCAAACTCAGAAATGTCCAAATAGGGAACTCTGATGGTTGGGGTGCAGCATCAGGTAGGGTAGTGATGAGAAATGAGTCCCTGAGAGAAGGTTGGGCTCAGCTTTCGGAAGGTCTCAAATGCCAAACTTAGGTGGACTTTATAACTATTCGGGGGCATGGCTATAAACTTACTCTTTGCCACATTCAGAACACTCCTTGAACATCACAGCTTCCTTCATCCAAGCAAACATATTAAGTAAAAACAAGGCTAGGTCCTGCAACAAACAAATCATCATTAAAAGAAAAGAAATAAAATAAACTAGTCCTTTCTGCCCATGGTTCTTGGCCTCTGCTAGACTTGCCAGCTGTAGGGGTAGATGCAATAGTCTAAATAGTCTAAATAGCTGTATGTAACAATCAGTAAGCAGTACTGTTCCATCCGAGGCTGAGGATCAGTCCAGGCATTATCATGAAGCAACAGCAAGCAGTCTAGTCCTGTAAGGGCTAACTGAGGAGTGTGGGGTGCCGTGGGAGGCCAGAGAAGGTGGTAGCCAAAAGGGATGGTTGGGAAGCCTTCCCAGAGGGGGTAGCCTAGGCCTCCACCACGGGCTACAAAGACTGCTGACTCAGCACAAATGATCTACAAGAAACTGCAACAAACCCCAGCAGAGTTTCTAAAAAGCTGCATCCCTAGGAGGACCCTGTCCCTCCCTTCCTTGCAGTGCCTGCCTGTGAAAGCTCAAGGCTGCAAGGAGAAAGTACTCTTTGTTCCAGCCCAAAATCTGTTGATAGGCAGATAGCCCACCCCCACCCCCAGACCTTCTTATAGCAGTTACTTTTAAAAGCTTGTGATTTTAAGTTCTTTCTCTGCCTCTTTGAGATGTAAATCTTCTGCAACCCAGAACTGTCTTCTCTAAGGACCTGAGAGCCCTCTCTTTGACAGGCAATCCTTCCAGCAGAAAACTTTCACTGTGTTCCCAGGGCTGGGGCCTCTTGCTCTAACTAGGCCCCTGCCTCCCGCCTAAGGGTACAGGTTTGAATCCCCTCCAGATAAGCACCAATTAAGGAACCCAGAGCTCACAGACCAACCCCAAGCCCCCAGGGTTTTGCAAATTGCCACTTCCCTGACTGTTAGAGTAACTGCTGCTTTTTCATTTCTGCTCCCTCAATCTCTCTCTAAAACACCCAGTTACCTCTTCACAAGTGGAAGTTGGTTCCATGACTATTGTACTCTTCCTTATTGCAATAGTTATTATTGAATCCAGTCTCTCTCATCACTTTAACTAGTATCTGGTCTGTTTATTTTTGACCTAAGTTTTGAGTTAGGTCCTGAAGAAGGTAGACTCTTGCCAAGGAGATCTAGGAGATGCCTAATCCAGAAACACAAACATTTCACACATTATATTCTTTAAATAGATCCTACCCAAAAAACTTTTAAATAGGACTTACCAAAAAAAAAAAAATATATATATATAGATATAGATATAGATATAGATATAGATAGATAGATAGATATAGATAGATAGATATAGATAGGAGGGGCAAATGGAAATTAATAAAAAGTAGCATTATGCTAACCTCATTAGTTGTTTAATTTGAAAGTAACAAAAAGTTTATCAGATTTTATTAGAAAATTTTTATTAGTTTATTGAAAATCATTTGTTTTGTAAATGATATTTTTCTCCCTTAGCAACAATCTCTGAAGATGCATACAAAGATTGACAAAATAAATGACCACAAATTAAATAATAGCCGAGTAATTCCAAAAGCAAAACGAGAAAACCAAGAGAAAACCAAGAGTCGTAGAGTGCTGCTTCACTCCACCACCGATCATGTAACTTGGAACTTCTGTTTCTTCTTCCAGAGCACAGTGGGGTTGACGGTCTCAAGTTCTCTTCCATTCTAAACATCTGTTTTGTGAAAGTTCCAACTCTGGAGACTGATCTCCTTTTCTTGTTCCCCTTAGACTGAAGCAGCCTCGAGCCAGGAAGATGTTACATGAAGGGGTGATAGTTGCCCTGGGCAGTGATTTCAACCCGAATGCATATTGTTTTTCAATGGTAATTATTTTTTCATGTGTTTTTCTGAGCATAGTCTCTACCAAGCATATAAATAATTAAAAAATATTTCACCATCTGTTAAAATGTATAAGTTATGAAAATATTTCCCTGTAAAACAAGAAAGTGTAGACAGTAGAATAATTGGATTTCCCTGCACCACATGAGTGCCTCCAGGCTTGAAGAAAAGAGAGAAACTTCTATTTGCATTATTTTCTGATTCAGCCTTGAGCATTATGGTTTTACATTAACCAATTTTCCTTCTCTGGAGCAAAGCAGAAACTAAAAAAAGATTTTAATTATTAAGTGTGAATGGAAAATTCATCTTCTACAGAAGGTCTTGAAGAGTTGTAAATGAATATTAAAAACACAATTCTTTTTTTTTTTTTTTGTATTGAGGATTGAATTCAGGGGCACTTGACCACTGAGCCATATCCCCAGACCTATATTGTATTTTATTTAGAGACAGGGTCTCGCTGAGTTGCTTAGCACCTCACTTTTGCTAAGGCTGACTTTGAACCTGCTATCCTCCTGCTTCAACCTCCAGAGCTGCTGGGATTACAGGGGTGCGCCACTGTACCCGGCTAAAAAACCACGATTCTTAATAATAAAGAATATTTTCCCAAAGCATAACAACCTTTATGTATTTAGATTTTCCCATAGTAATCCAGCAAGTTCCACCTATATATTTCTTGTAAGGTGCTGGGGTGTGGGTGCGGGATCAAGCCCAGGGCCTTTTTTTGCTGAGCACAGACCCTGCCACTGAGCCACATCCTCAGCCTGGACAGTCAGTAATCTACATTTACTTGTTGTGCTGTGTGTCCTGAGAAGAAGTTGCTATTTTGTCCCTTCCTTCAATGCTTTTCTTGTCCTGCCTTAGCCAATGGTCATGCATCTGGCCTGTGTGAACATGAGAATGTCCATGTCGGAGGCCTTGGCCGCTGCCACCATCAACGCGGCTTATGCACTGGGAAAATCTCACACGCATGGATCTTTGGAAGTTGGCAAACAGGGAGACCTCATTGTCATCAATTCGTCCAGGTGAGTGTTGTCAATATGGCTATTTTATTTTATGCCCACTGCAGATATAGATGAGGTTTTAATTCTGTTTGCAGTAATCTTAGTATCAGGCTTTGTCTAGACTCAGACACAACCCACTCCTCTCTCTCTTCACCCGTTTCCAACATCTGCCTCCCTGGGCCAAACCTCAGTGGAGACCGAGTTTTCCGGTCTCGTCATCTGTCTCGTATGTTTCATGGATTTCCAGGTCTTGCTCTGTTTACTTGGACTGTGGACCTGGAGTGTCCTCTGGCCTGTGTTTTTGTTTTTCTGCTTGGTTCCTGACCTTCTGCTTGCTCCCAGCTCCAACATGTCTGACTTTTGAGATCTACTTCATTCCCAAATCTCCCACGCATCTGCTGCTGCTTGGGCCTCCGCTGTGACAATTTGGGTCTTATTGTTCTAAATCCACAATATTGTACATGTGCTTGACCTTCATGTGCTGATCACAGCCCTTGGACCCCGTATTTAACAGAGGAGAACGGCTGTACAGTTCTACCCTTTATGGTAGGAATTCACTCCTTCCATTAAAAATAATGAGTGGTAATTCATGTTACCATTTGTGCACCATGTAAGGAAGAAAATATTATAAGTTCAAGTTCTTAAATGACATTATTAAACAACACTTTATTTATTATAGACCAGTTATATATTTACCACTTTTTTAAAAAGCTCAAATACCAATGGACTTGGTATAAATCAAGTTTTTAAATGCATTTGCAGATCATGCACAGTGATGATTTTGACTTGTATCCATTGGAAAAAAATGTTTGATTTCTTTCTAGATGGGAGCATTTGATTTACCAGTTTGGAGGCCATCATGAATTAATTGAATATGTTATAACTAAAGGAAAAATCATCTACAAAAAATGATAATCTGGAAGGAAAGAGAAGACACTTCCACTGTGTCAAATCAGTCAATACATCTGTAAGAGATGGTACCTTAGTGGTTGACCAGAATCATGTCATTTAAATCTAAATATACTTCATTGTATTATTAATTCACTTGAAAAGCCCAAGGAATTGATTCGAATCAAGGGACATGTAAAAAGGTAAACCCATGGTGCTGATAATCTGAAATCATTAAATGGTCTCACAAACATTGGTTTTAAAATTATGAAGATCGGGGCAGGGGTTATGGCTGAGTGTTAGTGCACTTGTCTGTCATGTGTGAGGCACTGGGTTCGATCCTCAGCACTACATATAAATAAATAAATAAATAAATAAATAAATAAATAAATAAATAAAAGGTATTGTGTCCATCTACAACTAAAAAGTATTTTAAAAAATATTCTGAAGATTAATATAGTGGGGGAATCACAAAAATACCTTTGAGGGAAAAGCAGACTTGGCTTGAAATGTCCATTTTATTTCTGAATCTCAAATTTCAGTTTTGTTTTTTTTAAATTTTTATTTGTTTTAATTAGTTATATGTGACAGTAGAGTGCATTTATGCACTTTGATATATCATACATAGATGGGATATAATTTCTCATTTGAGTGTACATGTTGTAGAATCGTATTGGTCATGTAGTCACATATATATATATATATATATATATATATATATATATAGTAATAATGTCTGTTTTATTCTACTATCTTTCCTATCCCCACATACCCTCCCCTCCCCTCCCTTTACTTCCCTCTACCTAATCTAAGGTAATGCTATTCTTATCTAGTGCCCCCAACCTTATTGTGAATTAGCATTCCCATATTAGAGAAAATGTTCAGCCTTTGGTTTTTTGGGATTGGCTTATTTCACTTAGCATGATATTCTCCAACTCCATCCATTTACTGGCAAATGCCATAATTTCATTCTTCTTTAAAACTGAGTAATATTCCATTGAATATATGTGCCACATTTTCTTTATCCATTTATCTATTGAAGGACACCTAGATTGGTTCCATAGTTTAGCTATCATGAATTGAGCTGCTATAAACATTGACATGGCCGAATTCATATTATATTTGGTGAACATTGTGGGATGGAAGCAAATCCAAGTGATATGCCCCAAATTGAGCTAAAAATATAGCCTTTTCTAACAAGCAAATAGTATTTTCTCTCCTTACACAGTTTGTCTTTCTAGATGCTCTTCAGATGAACTAGTGTCCCCAGGGGACAGATGTCCTTCCATTAATACTGTGTTTTCAACCCTAGCCATGAAGTGTCGTGGCGGAGTTCAGGATTCCTCCCTTTACACAGGGATACAGGAGCCTTTTACATTTTGATCAACCCTTATAATGTAGTTTTTTAAAATTGTTAAGTCTTTGATTCTCACTAGTCCCTAAAAAGATTTTACAACTCTCAATAAATATTTGCTGTTGCTGTTACTATTGTTCCATACAGCCCTGGGAGTAGATCACTGTATTGTCTATCCGAGTTTTGTTTTGTTTTAACAAAGTTGAACAAACCAATTGCAAAATCATTTGCAGAGTGAATGATTATTTATATAAATGGGTATTTTTAAGCCATGTGAGTTTACTGAAATCTTTTTAAAATGTTTACATTAGCTTTATAACCACAGCTTCATTGTCAAATTTTGTCCTATTTATAAAAAGTAATTTGTCAAGTAAACATTAAATACCAAATTATCACCAAATTTAGGTTAACAGAGCCTGAATTAGAGAGACTTTACCGTATTCGGTATAAACCAAATCGAAATGCCCATATTAGTCAGTTTTTGTTACTAAAATGAAATACCTGAGGTATGCTACTTATGAAGAAAATAGGCTTAGTTAGATCAGAATTTTGATTGCTGAAAAGTTCTGAGTATGGCATGGGTTCTGGCAGGGGTCCCCTTTGGCTGTGTCAACTTATGGCAGGTTGCAGTGGTGGGAGTTTGTGTGAGAGGAAGCAATCACATCTGGATACATGGAACCAGAGAGGGATTGTGTGAGGCCAAGCTTAGGCTTTTGTAATAATGGCATTGCAAGAACTTGCCAGAGTCCCAGTAGAAAGGCCTTAATTCTTTCAAGGACCCACCACTAGATGACCTAAAGACCTCCCATTATGCTCCACCTTCCAGAGGTCCCACATCCCAACATTGCCACAGTGAGAACCTGGTGAGACAAGCAAGGTTAGGTTCTTTGTCTCGGGAACAATGGAGGGTGAGAGCAAAGTAACAATTTGTTTTTGAAACAGAAAGGAGCAGAGCTCCCACAAGGGAGGGGTCCTGGGTGGGTTGCCACTGAATTGCTGCTGTCTAGGGATTTATATGGCATTGCTGGATGGGACCTTTAAAGCTATTCGCTAATGACTTTTAGAGAGAGGAGTTTCTGCATCCAATTAGAGTGAGACTCTCAGTAGTCATGTGCCCCCTGTCCAATCAGGACGTTGGTCAGGAGCAGTTCATGTGCTTGGTCACCCGCTCTCTGGTTCATCAGATACTTTGTACAGGAAGCTGGGCATGATGGGATAAGAAGCCTGGAATTATTGCAATGCTGGTCCACCCTGGTCAGCATATCTTCTTTCTGGCTCCTGCTCTCACAAGCTTCCAGCACACAGACCCTTCTAGGACAAACCATATTTAAACCATAGCAATATCCCTGGTGGGAAAGTTAAGGGTAACATTGCATGTCATTGTCCCTGCCTCAGGGGCCTTTGGCCATCTTGTGATTGGTGAAAGAATCTTGAAGATAGATACAAAAGCCAAAACCAAATGTTAGATCTGCCCTGGGACCCAAGTCACACAGGATTATACCCTTTCAGCTAAGGAATGAGAACACCTGCTAGGAGGTGATCACTCTAAACAAAAAGAGAATTCGTATCTTTTTCAAGTGAAAGCAGAAGAGGGTGCCCACCTGAACCACCTCGGTCCTCCCAGGCTGTGTGCTGGGAGCTTACTAGAAGTGCAGGACCTTGACCTCACTCCAGACCTGCTGAATGAGAATCTGCACCTTCACAAGCCTCCAGGTGATTCACGTGCCCATTAAAGTCCCAGATGCACTGGGCTCTAGGCCCCGGTCGGTCCCACGGGTCTTCGCACTTCCTCAAACACATCTTTTGAGTCAGCTGTTCTGGGTTTTGCAGGGCTGTTCCCTCTGCCTGGGATGCAGTGTCTCCCTGGATCTACAGAGGAGATATGTTCCAAGACCCCCAGTGGAGGCCTGAAACCACTGATGGTACCCAAACCCTATCCATAAGGCACTGTTTTTTTTCCCTCATACATTCATACCTGTGATAAAGTTTAATTTATAATTTAGGCAAGTGAAGAGAAAAACAATAAGAAAAGAAAAATTTTAACAATAAGCTAATAAAAGTTACATGAGTGTGGTCTCTCTTTCTCTAAAATATCTCATTGTCCTGCTGAGCATGGTGGCACACGCTTGTAATCCCAGCAGCTCAAGAGGCTGAGGCAGGAGGATCACGAGTTCAAAGCCAGCCTCAGTAAAAGTGGGGCACTAAGCAACTCAGTGAGCCCATGTCTCTAAATAAAATACAAAATAGGGATGGGGATGTGGCTCAGTGGTCAAGTGGCCCTGAGTTCAATCCTTGGTACCTTCCCTACTACAAAAAAAAATTTTGTTGTTCTTTACCTTTCCACTTGAAGCACTTTACAGCTTCTCTTTGGCACATCTGAACTGCCAGCAACACAACTCTTACACTTTGGGGCCAGGATTAAATAAAATAAGGGCCACTTGACTGAACACAAGTGTTGTAATACTAGGTCAGCTGGACTGATTGCTGAGAAGCCTGCTAAGATGCATCCTGGACATGCTGGGCAGTGGGATGCCCTGGATGCTCCAGGTGGGATAAAGTGAAATGGCTTGAAATGTCATCATGCTACTGAGAATGCAGGACAACTTAAAACCTGTGAATTATTTATTTCTGGAATTTTCTATTTAATAATATCAGGCCACAGTGGACTGCAGGTAACTGATACCATAGAAAGCAAAACCGTGTAAGGGGAAATGACTATACTTTGCTTCTCTAGGGGGGGATGCTGGAGCTGGCTGCCCCTCCCCCATGCTCCCACACCTCGCTAGCCTTTATAGCCTTGTGGCTTAACTCTTTCCCATTTGATGGTGAAGTAACAAAGCTGCAACCTTGTCATGCCCCCAGAATCCAGTGTAGTGACAGATGATCAGTGAATGATTAATGAATGACTGCAGAAACTTAGATAAGTGGCAGTGAAAATTATTGATCAAGATACACTGTTAAGCCAGGCACAGAGGCACCCAGTGACTTGGGAGGCTGAATCAGGAGGATTGCAAGTTTGAATCCAGCCTCAGCAACTTAGTGAGGACCCAAGAAACTTAATGAGACCCTGTCCCAAATAAAAATAAAAAGGGCTGGGGATGTGGCTCACTGTAGTATAACCCTGGATTCAACCTTCAGTACCAAAACAAAAAGTCAAAACGCTGCTAAGCTTGCCCACCCAGGATGCAGTGCAAACGCTTACTTGTGAGTGGGACAGAGCATATGAATTTCTTAATAAAATGTCAAAGGATGATGCTCACGAGAAAGTAAAGTGTAAAAGTAAAAATAAAGAGAGAAACAATTGAATGGGGTGGGGAAGGGCAGCTTTGCTTGGCTTGGAAGTTTGGGGAGCCTTTTGATGAGACAGAAGGGCTCTACAATGGTGTGGAAAGTCGTGAAGTGTTCTGAGGATTCAAGAGACCAGTTGAAACTTCATTCTAAAGGTCAGGGGAAGTCACTGAAAGATTTTGCACAGGGGAGAACAAGGACGAGAGTCTTGTAAAAAATATACGTGACTATATGACCAATGTGATTCTGCAACCTGTACACTCAGAAAAATGAGAAATTATACCCCATTTGATTCAAATGTATAATATGTCAAGATCATTGTACTGTCATGTGTAACTAATAAAAAAAAGATTAATATGGCTTTGGTGCACATAGTAGGCCCTTAAATATTTGTTGTATGAATGGATTCAGCTACAAAGCTGATCAGATTCTTTGGTGGAGAGAGTAGAAGGTATCAGATACCAGAAGTTCAGGTGGAAGGATGGCTCAGCAAGATGTGATAATCCCTAGCGTGTGCTTCATTGAGCTAAAAACAGCAGCTCTTTCAAACCTTTTAAAATTATCAGAAAATTTAAATTTCCCTTTAAGAAAGAATATTGTGTTAGGTAGGGTAAAACTTGAAAGATCACAATTCACTATAATATGAATTTTTTTTTTTTTTTTTTGCCAAGAACCAATTGTCACTCGTTTGGGGTCCATATCAGTTCTAGTGAGATAAGGATGCACACGTTAGATGCTGTGAGGAACACGCAAACTAAATGAGACGCTAAAGGAGACAAAAATCTGGGCTTTGATTTCATCTTGAACTCTTTGTCTATCTGTCAAATGAAGAGGTTGGATTCCTTCCATCTCTGAACTTCTGGTCCTAAGTTGGGCACTGCCTTCAGGAAATATATAACCCAATTAGAGCAGCAAGATAGATGGATATTAAAAAGTAGAATCAATGCCAGGCAGGATTAAGAGTTGGTTCTCTTAAAAGAATAACACTCTAATGGAACATACTAATGGCATTATTTAAGTCTGGATTCCCCACCAAGCCCAAGCGTCTTGGCCTTTCCAATAGTAAGAGGTTGAAGGATAAAGCCAAAATGCCCGCCTCTTGTTTCCCCCAATTTTTCCTGCAGAAGCTACGATAGACATTGGGCACCTGGTACCCAGGTGATGGAAACTACCACTGAGTCCAGCCTTCTGTCCCTGCTCATGCACACTCAGAGGTGTTCCATGCTGTCATTTGGCTTCCCCTACTGTACCATGAGCATTAATTATGCTCTCCATGACGAGGCTCCTGAGCACGCCCTTGCTTTTCCTGGTGTGTCGACACACTGCCATTGTTTGTTTTCTCATCTGCTCCTGGGCTTAGCCTATAAATCATGACCAAAGCCACTGGTTTAGACATTGGCCAAGCACGGAAGTGGTTTCCTGACATGAATGCCTCTCTTGACTTTCCTCCTGCAAATCCCAGCTCAGTCACCTCTTCCCTGCTGATTCCGTGGAGCTGAGGTTGTTCTTCCTTCCTCTGGGATATGGCAGTTGCCGTGGTAGGTCCTCAACTAGATGGAAGAGTCTTTGAAGACAGGACCACGTGTGCTAGGTGACCCACCACAGCCTGGCTCAGCCCCTCATGCACAGAGGCTGGGTTGGCTAGGATGCTGATGGCGACGAGTATCAAATCCTCGGCTAAATCATCTTAAAAATAAGGAAGCTTCTTCATTCACCACTGGAAATTCAGAGGCTGAGCAGATTTCAGGACTGGTTTCCCCAGCAGCTCAATGATGTGAAAGACCCACATTCCTCCCTTCCCTCTGTTCTGCTCTGACTTCCTACAATGCCCTGGGTCTGTCTGGCTGTTGATAGCCATTGCTCTGTGTCTCCTCATTTAGGTCAAGCAGGAGGGGGGAAAGATGACTTCCTGTGGCTCTCAGAGAGAAAAACTTTCTCAGAAGCCTCTGATAAATCTCTTCCACCTCACTGACCCAAATGGCCATCCCAGTCTTTTTTACCCTGTCTTCTTTTTGTGGTGTTGGGGATGGAGCTCAGTAGTACCCTATCACCATCCTCCAATCCCAACTCTTTTTATTTTGAGACAGGATCTTGCTAAATTGTCTGAGCTGGCCTTAAACTTTTGATCCTCCTGCCTCAGCCTCTTGAGTCATTGGGATGACAGTTGTGTGCCAATGTGCTTATCTGTTCCAGCCCTTTCTTGACCTATTACACTAAGCAAAGGGAACAGGATCACCTTTAGACTAATCAGGCCTACCCCATTAGACAGAAAGACTGTCCTCCAGCTTCTTTTCTTTTTTTCTGGAGGGAAAGGGGTATATTTTCAATGCTTACATTTAATGAATTAGTACTTTCAACAAAGGTAACCAAAATAGCAAAATGATCATACTATTAATGAGAGAGTCATAATGTTTAATAAAAAGATATACATCTGCTGGCCAGTCCCAGAAGACATGAGTTTTAACCAGTATGAAAAGTATCTCTTTTAAAATATTTATTGGATTTTATGTAAGTGGTAGATAATGACCATGAATCATGCCAAATCACACACCCATGCCCTTGAGTATCACTCTCTCAAACTGACGCTGGGCTCGGCACGTACGTGGCTTGTTTTGGCCACCAGGACATGTGCAAACATCTCCCCATCCCCCCAAATACAGACGTAAGAATAAAGCCACAACAAGACCATTGAAACCATTTATTCCATATTTACCTTGAAAGTCTCTTGAAGATAGATGACGTCAGCTACTAACAGAGTTGCATCAAATGCCCTTGTGCCCCAAAGGACCTCAGGGGTAGACAGAGTCCAGCACTCCCCAAACTGGAGTGAAGGGCAGCCATTTGCTGTGGTTTACTGGCTCAACTGCAGCTTGTGTATAAGAATGAGTAAACTTCATTTGTGTAAAGTGTAAACTTCCATTTTTAGCAAAGAACAGCACCAAGAACAACTGCTAGGTAGACAAGTACCTCAGCACACGTTTTGCTTCAGCAGTTTTCACTAGGATCTCCACCTTTCCTCTGGACAGGTACAATCAAGACTGAGGAGCCCACTGTGAACCACACCTTTGGGTGCACTCACTATAGGCTGTCCTCAAGCTGGGAAAACTGGCAAGTGTGTCTGTCCTTTTCTTTCCCAGCTACAGTCCTCAGAGCCAGCACTTGGAGTGCTTTGCACACATTTGTACAGATGGGTGCAAAGTCACAGATCTTAGCCTTGGGATGCCAAGAAATCATCTGACCCACTCTTTCCCTGGACAATGACACTCAAGCCTCCCCAGAAGGTCCCTTATTTTCTTGAGGGGAAAACACATTGAGTAATACATCCTAGGGCCCCACCTGACCTTTGTCAACAGGGCTTAACTTTAATGATTACCATTAGAGGGAGGGGGTTGGTCAACCTCCACAGATCTCTTATCTGTGAAATGAGGAGTCATTTTAGCAGGGTCACTATCAACTGTGAACAGATACTAATTTCAAACTCTAGCTTAAGCAAATGAGTAAACAATTAAAAGATATATGTAATGATATTTGATAAACATGAAAGACGCAGTACAATAAGGGCCACCCAAATAGCAATCTTTATATTCATTTCTTAACTTTATATTCATTTCCATATAAAACTCCTTGTGGGTGGTTTTTACCACCTCTGTACTTAACTGCTAAAAAAACTATGGATAATTAAACTAATAAAAGGAATAGCACCTTAAGAACAAATTATGACTTAAAATGGCAGTTTAGAGGGCATAATAAGAAACCTTAGTCATATAGCATAATACAATCAACTAAAGAAAGTCAACTAGCTTGTGGAAGTGAATTAAAAAAATAATAAGATTCGCCAACAAATTTTTTTTTTGAAAAAAAAAATGCTGTCAATCTGTTTCCAATTGAGTTCCTCTAACACTAAGAGTTAAAAACAGACCCATTGCAACTGTGGCTATTCTTAAGAATAAGTAGCCTAATGATATTATTAAGAAAGAAAAGTCCTTCCACCTGAGGACTTACAGTGCTGGACTTAGCATCTGTAATAATGCCACTGGCTTAGCCAGAGCAGGACCCAGGATATCTGCAGTGTATAATAGACTGATCCACCTAGGAAAGTTCTCAGGTTTTCCCTCAGCACGGTACTTGTTTTGTGTTCAGCTAAGGGCCATCTGATCTGCTAAGCTGATCTGACAAAGCCATTAAAGATCTTCGGACTCTGGGATTTTGGTGGTCTTGTGTAGAGATTCCAGTGAAAAGGCTGTTGGAGAAATAGGTCTTGATTCTGGAATATGCTCCATTCTGTATTTCTCGATGTAGGGTACAGCTACATCCCAAACCTGAGCAGCAAAGACAGAGGAAGTTGAAAGATCAACAACACTGTTTCCACAAGCTGTTAAACATCAACTTCTCCCCAAGTCAAAATATCCTGTATGCCTGGCTAGACCTAGGCTGAGTGGCTGTCCCTCTGCTTTTATTTTGAGCCATTTGATACATGATCTATGTCAATTAGTTGCTAACTGTATAAAAAGCCTTTAAAAATACAAAGTCCAAAACATTTCTAAGGTTTCGAAGGTGTTAAGCTGCTTTCTCTTTCAAAGCAAAACAAGCAAGCAAAGCAGACAACAAACAGAACCTAGAAAATTCAATGCGGGCATAGTCAAGGATAGCTGCTCAAGGGTACACCATGACCTTGTGATTTTTAAAGAAGCCTTAAATGATAAAAGGCAGTTCGTTGGATTTTCCCATGGCTCTACCTCCATGCCACAGTGCTCTGTGCCTTTGACTCTTGCTACTCCAGTATGGCCTGTGCCCGTCCCCATCAGTGTTACCTGAGACAGGTCATAATCTTATTGCTCAGCTCTAAAACTACGGAATCATACATTTTCACAAGATACCCAGGAGATTCATGTACACATTCAAGTTTGAGAAGCGCTGCCTCAGATCCTGGCTTAGTTCCCCCCTCCATCTATCAACCTATTCTCTTTGAAGCATAACATCTTTTCAAGTTATGAAACCCATTTTTTGGTTTGCAGCTGCTTTTTATCTAATTATCACTGACAGCCAAGAACTCTCTGATCTTAGAAATTGTCTCCTTTCAGAAGCTAGTTCCTCTTACATACACCTTTCACCTAGTACCAAAGTGGGTACTGGACGAGTGGCTTCCCCTAACAGGGTACCAGGTGCACTTAGAAATGACAGGTAGAAGGATCAAAGAGAAAATTTGTTTTCCTGGAGCATAGCAACTATTTTGGGAGGAATCAAGTGATTTTAGGGAACACATGATACTCACAAATTATTCAAAAAGTTTTATATATGTATGATATTTATGATGAATCAGCATGCTAGGCAGCTATATCAATCTTCTAATCCTATGGTCAATGTAACCAGAGGAAAATAAGTGGCAAAGAAAACCTATAACCCTCCCAGCAAGATGGGGCAAGGACATACCAGAATACTAGATGAACTCAAAGCCCCTTTGAAATAAAAACCTGGGACTTAATTTCCCCCAGGTCTGTAAAGCCCTTGCACCTGGTGGGGGTAGTTTTGCCAACATCACCAGAAAGAGAAAGTACTTCTGAATGAAAGAGGACATCTTGGGGAGGGGGATGGCCTATGAACCTTTCATCTAATTTTTCTCACCATGAATATTGGTCTCAAAACTCTTAAAAATTCATTTCAGTTTCCAAGCCATAGGTAATCAATGTTTGGGTGCAACATGAGACACTGGTTATCAAATGGCTTCTGCATGGCTTTTCAAGTTGCCTCCATACCTTTGTGTTCACTTCCAAGGAATCCAGGACAAAGTAGAATTAGACAATGTTTCTCTCTCTCTCCACTCTCACTTTGCTTTCTCATAACAACCCCAAACTAAGAAATAATCCAAGTAGCCAACTTGCCTTCTGTTCCAGGAGCAGCCTGTGTGCCGCCTCGATGTCTGGAGCCATGAAGCGATCTTTTATCCAGGGCCTACAGAGAAAAGCATATCAGTCCATCAGCCAAACATTTGGTATTGCCAAGGTTCACAGTTCTGAAATGGTGTAACTTCCAGGGACCTGTTGACTTTACCTTACAACAGAGCGCACCAGGTCATAGACCTTCTCCAGTGGAGTGGTTGTTCTCAGGGGTCGTAGGAACTCTATGCCCTGGCAGGCTGCAAGGAGCTCAATGGCCAGCACTAAAACAAAAATGCCAAGACAGTGGCTGATTAAAGCCTTCTGATGTCATGCTTGAAGAAGAGAAATCATCCAAATTCGACAGTCATCAGTGGCTAACTAACAGGTAGTGGTTCTTTGTCTATTGGTGGAATGAAGTTGCATTGGTATCAGTTATCATTTTAAACCTGCTTTTCTAACCCCTTGGAAGTATCTTTAACCGTGAGAAGGGGATAATTGAGACATTTACCTGGATAGATTATGAGACTTCCTTACCTAGAAAGGTAAGGAAGCTTTTGTAAGCTACACCAATGAAAACTGCCATTTCCCCCATTCATATCTTCTAACCAAGGTTTGTTGGCTGGGTTTGTGTCACGTGGGTAGGACAGGAAGTCAGAACCTGATCTGGATCCCAAACCTATTAAGTCAGTCTATATTTCATCAAGATGTTCATTTATATTCCCCTACATTTCAATTCTTTAGTTAGAATCTTCTTAAATGCTACAAAGAGTTGCCAAGTTGTCCAATATTTGCTTTTCTGTCTAGACTTTAATTTCCAGGAGGGCAGAAGCCAAGTATATCTCACTCGCTGTTTAACCCACTGTGCTGAAGTGATAGATGCATGTCCACCCAACCAGGTGGGCATATTTTCTTTCCATGCTCCCACTAGTTACCTGTACAATAAATAATCAGTAGGTGATAAATAGATAAGTTTTTATCTTATACTTTATATATAGCACCAGTGGATTCCAAGATTTATAGGTATTTTTTAAATATCTGTAATCAAAACACACTTAAGTAATGAATATGCTTGAAATACGAACTGCCATTTTCCTCCCAATTGCACTTCCCTGATTTAAATGGACAGAACCCTGGATGAGCTAGATCTATCATTTATGTGTCAAGTCTATAGCAGGCCCTTTATTATGAGTTCCAGGCTCATTCAGGGATGTGACCCAAACAAAGATCCCTGCCCTCATAGAGCTTGAATCTCACTGGGAAAGATGAATAGACCTAAGTATAGATGAGTTATTCAAGCTCCATTAGAACAATGGAGAAAGAATGGCAATTGCTGATGGGGAAGGCATCGGAGATAAAAGCTGATCAACCACCTAGATTAAATGAAGAAGGGAACCAAGCAAAGTCCAGAAGATCCAGGAAGGTACAGAGGGAAGGATGTGCTCATTGGCAGGTACAAGGCAAAACTGTAGCTCCAGAGTAGAGATGTGATAAAGAGAAGAGGCAATGAGAGACAGAACCCAAAACACTTCGTGGACCGCAATCAGGGTTGGATTTTGTTTTGAGCCCTAGGAAGTAACTGACAGATTTTCAGCAGGGGCATGGTATGTTCTCAATTATGTTTGTCAAAGTTCACCCTGCTTTGTAGTGAAAACAAGGAGACTAAATAGAAAGTGCCAGTCTTGCTTTGTTATCTTTGGAAGATAGGGTTGATTTGCTGATGAAATGGAGAGAAGACAAGAAGATAGATAAAGACAACTATTTAGGCCTTTTGGTCCAAACAACATGTGCGGTGGGGGAAACATCTGAAGAGTGAACATTCAAAATGCACTGTGGTAGACAATAACAAGTCCTGGTGAAGATGTGGAGGAATCGGACCCTCAAACACTGCTGGTGGGAATGTAACACAGTGCTGCCATGTTGGAACATACTCTGGCTATTCCTCAAAAAGACAAATGCAGAGTTAGCATCTGACCCAGGGCTCCACTCTAGAGAAATGGAGACTTGCCCACACAAAAACTTGTACAGGTTCACAGTTGCATTATTTATATGAACCAAAAGGTAGAGACAAACCAAGTGTCCTCAACTGATGAAACAATAAACAAAATGTGACCTGTCCATACAATAGAACATTATTTGACCATAAACATGGATGAAGTGTTGACACATGCTATAACTACTGAATACATGCTACAACTAATGAGTCTTGAAAATATTAGGCTAAGTGAGAAAAGCCAGTCAAAAAAGACTACATATTGAGGATAGGAAAGGTAGCAGAATACAACAGTTACTAGTATGGCATTATGTAAAAATGTGGATGTGTAACCGATGTGATTCTGCAATCTGTATTTGGGGTAAAAATGGGAGTTCATAACCCACTTGAATCTAATGTATGAAATATGATATGTCAAGAGCTTTGTAATGTTTTGAACAACCAATAAAAAAAAGACTACATATTGTATGATTCTGCTGGTACGAATTGTCAAGAATACATAAATATATAGAGACAGAAAGCAGATCAGTGGTTGCCTAGGAGTAGAAGGGAGAATGGGTATGTGATAGCTAGAGGGGCCGAGGTTTCTTCTTGGGCTGATGAGCAAGTTCTAAAATTGATTATGGTGATGGTTGCACAACTCTGTGAATACACTAAAATCCCTAACTGTACACTTGAAATTGGTAAATTGTAAGATAGGTGAATATATCTCAAAACAGCTATTATCCCCTCCCTAAAAAACAATATTCAATTTTCACATTTACCTTAAAATAGTTCTGCTCTTTGGTCAGCCAATAGTATTTATGAAGTACTATTGCATAAACTTAGGAAATTAAGAGAATAATGTCTAGAGGAAGGCAATTTCTCTTTCTTTAAAAAACAAAATGAACAATGATTAAGAAAGCAGAGAGAGGGTTACTTATCATAGTTGTCTCTGTGATGTAGCTTTGTCACACAAGTTGGACCTAAATCTTAGTAAGTCTTTATATTTAACTGCAATGTATAAGAAATGCATGGGACAAATGACAAGTTAAAAGTGACACCAACTCCATCCATTTACCTGAAAATGCCACGATTTTATTCTCTTTTATTGCTGAGTAATATTCCATTGTGTGTATATACCACAGTGTCTTTATCCATTCATCTACTGAAGGGCATCTAGGTTGGTTCCCACGGTTTTGCTATTGTGAATTGTGCTGCAATAAACATTGATGTGGCTGTGTCCAATACAAGGTGGAGGATTCATAGTGGGGTTGGGAGGGGGAGCATGGGAAGATTAGACAAACTCTAGATAGGGCAAAGGGGAGGGAGGGGGAGGAAAGAAGCAAGGGGGTAAAAAAAAGATGGTGGAATGAGATGGACATCACTACCCTAAGTACATGTATGAAGAAGACATGAATGGTGTGAATATGCTTTGTATACAAGCAAAGATATGAAACATTGTGCTCTATATATCTAATATGAATTTTAATGCATTCTACTGTCATATATAACAAATTAGAATAAAAAGATTTTTTAAAAAGTGACACCATAAGGAAGCCAACAGGCAAATCCAGAATGTCAGTCTTTCTACAGGAAAACTAACCTGACTTTTCCATTAGTTAAAGGCACACGGGGAAAAAAAACCAAAAAAAACAAGGGACTTTATAGATTAAAAGAAGTTTAAGCTGGGCACAGTGGCGCATGCCTGTAATCCAGTGGCTCAGGAGGCTGGACAGGAGGATCACGAGTTCAAAGCCAGCCTCAGTAAAAGTGAGGCACTAGGCAATTGAGTGAGCCCCTGTCTTTAAATAAAATATAAAATAGGGCTGGGGATGTGGCTCAGTGATTGAGTGCCCCTGAGTTCAATCTCCGATACCGAAAAAAAAAAAAAAAAAAAAGAAGTTGTTTAAAATTATGACAACCAAATTTAAAACATGGTCCTTGAATCCTGACTTGAACAAAACCACCATAAAGACATTGAGACACTGTAACTGGGAAATTTTGAATATGCATTTGGTGGTGACACCAGGACTTAACACTGAATGGTGTTGGATGTGATAATGGTGCCTTGGTAGATAAGAAAGCATTCATATTGAAGAGAGAAAGGATGTGGGAATAAAATGATATGACATTGGGGATTTGCTCGAAAATAATTTGGGAAAAGTAAAAGAAAAAATGAAGCAATTGTGTTAACTGTTGAGTCAGAGTGAAGTGTGCAAGGGTTCATGGTACTATTCTCTCCAGTTCTGAATGTGTTTTTAAAGTTTCGTTTTTAAAAATCCAAGGAACCAGTTGATCTTGGCATAGTTCCTTGGTTTCTAATTCTCAACAAGCATCAGAGTCACCTGGAAGACTCTTTAAACAGAAGTTGCTGCTGTCCTCTCTCTAGAGTTTCTGGTTCAGCAGGTCTGGGAGGGAGCCTTAGAACCTGCATTTCCTAATGTGTTTCCAATTGTTGCTGCTGCTGGTGGTGGGGAAGATCTCACTTTGAGAACCACCAACATAATATTTTACAAGCGTGTTACCTTGTTCCACGTGTTCGATGACCCTGAGGGCCTTCCTGGCTGCCCACCCTCCCATGGAGACGTGATCCTCCGTGGCAGCACTGGTAGAGAGCGAGTCCACAGATGAGGGGTGGCACAGAGCCTTGTTCTCAGAAACTGCAAGAGACCAGTGCAAATTAAGAAGTGCTCCCAAGAGGATTAAATACCAAAATGACATGTGACTTCCTCAAAGTCTCCATAGCATGGAAGACCATCACCTGGAGATCTTGGCCATGACCCAAGCACCAGATGGTTCAAAATCACTCTGGGAAAAGGAAGCAAGTCAATTTTTCCCCAGAGTGAGAAGGACTCTAAAGTTCTAGTGAGTTCTGAGATAAGGCAGGGATGAAGAGCTTAAGACTCTCATATTACAAGGCCAAATCGAAAACACTGGAAGCATTTCGTATGCCCTGGAGACTTGGAGAAAAAAGCCATGATGATCATGTTCAGTTACTGGAAAACAATTTGACTGCTTATGTAAGCAGAAGCGACAAGATTAGTATTCAGGTGTGATATCTGAGGGCTGAGGCTGGTCCTACAGGTTTTGGGCAGAAAGATTTAACAGTTCCAAATGCTCAGCATGACATAAGTGACATTCTGAATTGAAATAAGGCCTTAGTGTTGGCCAGAAATATCTCTGGGAGGTGAGGGAAGCCTTCACTGGGTCCTCTGAAACTTGATTGTGCGCATTAAAATCATAGGAATCTTGCTATAATACAGATAATGAGTTTGGGTTGAGCCTTGAGGTCCCCTTGTTCTAACAAGCACCCAGGACTATACTTTAAGCATCAGGGACCTAGTTTAAGGAACTTGAGTTCCAGGAGGGCAAGGTCCTCACCAAGGGCTGCGGCTGTGCAGTGGGCTATCATGAAGCCAGAGTTCAGACCACCTTCAGCCACCAGGAAAGCAGGCAGCTCACTGAGGGAGGGGTTACAGAGCCTTTCGATTCTTCTTTCACTAATCGCAGCAAGTTCATGGACGCCGATGGCCAAATAGTCGAGGGCCTGAAAGAATCTTGCAGTTTAGTTGGCCTCTATTGGAATATGTATTTCAGGGTTGGGAGTGATTTTCAAAAGCTTACTTTGGCTGGGTATTCACCGTGGAAATTCCCTCCAGAAATTGTCTCTCCCCGACTGGCAAAGACCATCTTTGAAAATAGGTTAAGGTGGAATAGAACTTCAAGCCTAACTCCTGCCCCACCTGCTGACTTTTAGCAATGAAGCAGTGGTCCTGGTACAGATGTGGGGTAAAGGGAAAGAGACAGTCTTCCTGAAAGCACATTGACATAAAGGAGCACAAAAGAAAAAAAAATTAAAGGTAAATTGTGTATACCCACTGGGGCCACAGAAACATGGAGTAGGAAATTGTGTCTTCTCTGAGGTCAGAGATTCCCAAGCACCATAATGTACTAATCTGGTGATTAGCAGTTGCACTCAAAAACTGTTTAAGTTGAAACTGAGAATAGAGACCAGGATGCCTGTTTGAAAGCAAATTCTATTTCTTCAGTGGCTACTGTGAGTTTGTGCTCCATGAAGGAACCTGTTGAATGGAAGATTGGGCTGATGAGCAACCATCAAAATATCTGAAACAATTGATGCTGGGAAAAATTTCAAACTCTTTACTCAATAATTCTGTTGCCCGTCAGTGTCTAACAACAGTTGGCAGTGAATGGATCCTCCCAATCCATCAGTAGGAGGCAACTTTAGACTCACTGAATAGTATTACTTGCAGAAATAATTCCAACCTTTCAAAAACCGGTGGGCACCCAGGCAGACACATTCTGGTTCCAAAGAGCTCATTTTCACCTACTAAAGAATACAATCGATCCCTGTACCTACAGATTCTGCATCTAAAGATTTGATCAAACTCAAATTGGAAATATTTGGAGAGCTGAGGATGTAGGTCAGTGCACTTGCCTTACATGCACCAAAACCTGGGTTCAATCCCCTCTACTACAAGAAAGAAAGGTGGGGAGGGTGAGGGAGAGAAGGAAGGGAAAGGAAAGGAGGGGAAAGGAAAGGAAAGGAAATATTTAGAAAGAAATTGTGTCTGTATTGAATGTGTACATACTTTTTTCTTGTCATTATTCCCTAAATACTATAGTACACTATTCATATTATATTAAATACTACAATACACTATTATATTATACTATTATATTAAATACTATATATATATACTCTTTATATTAGGTATTATATTTATATTAAATTAGGTATTAAAGGTACTCTAGAGATGTTTTGAAGTACATATAAGGATGTGCAAAATTTATCTGAAATACTATGCCTTTATATAAAAGGAACTTTGGCATCTTCCAGTTTTGGTATCCACAAGGTGGGGGGGGGGGAGGTCCTGGAATGAGTCCCCACAAAAACTGAGGGACAACTCATTAACTGGGAACTTACTGTGTGTGAGAAAGGGTCTGACCTTCAAAGAATTGGTGTTGCATGTGTTACATTAAATTAGTCAAGTTTGGAGTGACTGTTTCTATGCCCTCAACTGGAAACTGATTAGGCCTGGCTCTGGCTCTTCTCCATAAACCTGCCCCACCACAGGAGGCCTTGGGCTCTCCTTTCTTTCAATCCTGGTAGCCATTGATCTCTGCGCTCATTGAGGACTTAAGTATGTTCTATTGTCCTGTAGTTGTTCTGAGTTTGTCTGTTGGCTATTGGACTATAGCAATTAGACTTTAATGTCCATAGTATCCAGCACTATGTAATAGGTGCTCTATATCTGCAATAAAAAATTGAGGCATATATTCTTTCAGGAGAACTTCCAAATTATTAGCCTATATAGAAATCATAATGAAGTCTTTCGTTGAGAAAATAAAAAAATTTGTCCCCTCCCCCTTATCCAGGAATTCAATGGTAATCCATCCTTTCTTCCTTCCTTCCTTCCTTCCTTCCTTCCTTCCTTCCTTCCTTTCTTCCTCCCTACCATGCAAGAATGGATGCATGAGATTAGATTTAGTAGAGTTCATGAACACTACTATTCCACTTGGTGGCCAAAGTGGAAGTGGACTGTTTGAGGTGAGTTGAGAGATCCACAATCCTGAGAATTATTTTAGTGTGGGTTTGAATTAACTATGAAGCAATGTGAGAGAATCTAAAACACACATCCTAAGATAGTTTTGTCAGAAAACACCAAATGTCTTGTGAGAAACCTTGCACAGGTATTGTGTGATCATCTGCTAACCCAGACAATGAACTGCATTCAAGGTGTTAATTGTGCATTTTCTCCAGCATTGAAATGCTCTGCAAAATGACTGCTTAAGCCAATCCTAAAATTACCAGCTGGTATTCTATAAATTCAGATCAGCAGACATTAAAAAAGATACAGGATTATCTGTTGCACTGTTCAGTTCAGTGGTAATGATGTCTTTCACAAACGCTATGGTGTCATTCACCACACCATGGATCTGAAATACAGTCATATAAATAATATAAATACAATCATATCAAATAATATAACCCATTAATGTAAGAAAACAATGTTCTAATGTAAGAAAACAATGTTCAAAATACTAAATAACATCTTTAGTATTTCCCCCAGAAAAGTGGTTTGAATTTACAGTCATGACAATTATGCTTGATTCATTTAGAACAGGAAAATAGCATGGTTAAATCTTCTGAGTTTTCATTAAAACAAATTAGAATAAATTCATTATAATATGAATTTACATCAGAACAATCTATTACAAAACTGCAGGATGTGAAATAAAGGATGTCAATTCCAGGGGGTTTTGCTTTCAGGTAGGACATGTTAGCACATGGGCAAGTTATTGAAGTCTAGAGTTGAAGCAGAAATGGAAAACAGATGACGAAACTTACCTTACTGTGTGTGAGATATAAATAAGACAATGCAGACAAACTCTCAGACATGATTCACAGAGATCATTCAGACGATGCCTTTTATCCAGGGAGGTTAAGTTTATGAAGCACGAAGGTATCACATTAAAAGATACTCAGAAGTAAGGCAGCCACCTTGCACCAAGTCAAGTTTGGCCATAATGCTGCATAGCAGCGCCTGCCATCTGGCTTCTTCCAGATGTCAAGGAAGTAAAGATCTAGTTGAGCTATCTTGGCCAAGGTACTTAACTCTGTTTCTCAGTTCCCTACTATAAAATCGGAGAAAGTAGCTATGTCATTGAAAAATTAAAATTAAGGCATTAATGCTTGGAAGACACTGATTGTGGTGCCTGTCACATAGAGTCAGCTGTCATTCTTAAGACTATCAGAATGCTCTTAAGCCAATTCATTTGGCAATTCTTTCCTGTAAATATTCCAGAATAAGATTTGCTGAGGAAAAGGAAATAAGGGCATTTACTCTAAGGAGGACCCAGTAGTATACTTTAGACTGAACTTGGCACAAACTAACTGACATATTATTTTTTTAAATGCTTGTTAATCTCTCAATCAATTTATAGGAATTGATATAATCAGCAAAACAGGATGCCTAATGCCAACGCAGCTCATCTGCACTTTAAAGATGCACATATTAATTTATGATAATTTACCTAAGAGGCAGATAAGGTATATTCATGGACAGGCACTTGAATTTTATTTATGTATATATTTATTTATTTATTATTCTAATTTGTTATATATGACAGCAGAATGCATTACAATTCATATTACACATATAGAGCACAATTTTTCGTGTCTCTATACACAAAGTATAGTCACACCATTTGTGTCTTTATAGATGTACTTAGGGTAATGATATTTATCTCATTCCACTATCTTTTCTATCCCCATGCCCTCTCCCTTCCCCTCCCACCCCTCTCCCCTATCTAGAGTTTATCTAATCCTCCCATGCTCCACCTACCAACCTCATTATGAATCAGCCTCCTTATATCAGAGAAAACATTCGGCATTTGTTTTTTGGGGGATAGGCTTACTTCACTTAGCATTATTTTCTCCAACTCCATCCATTTACCTGCAAATGCCATGCTTTTATTCTCTTTTAATGCTGAATAATATTTCATGTGTATATATACCACATTTTCTTTATTTATTCATCTACTGAAGGGCATCTAGGTTGGTTCCACAGTTTAGCTATTTGGCACATAAATTTTGAAAGATGGAAAGAGGGTCTCCTATACACATCCCTGACCAGCTGGTTTAAGATTTATCTAATAGGGTGAACCAGCAAAACTCTTTTAACTCTATTGAGTTGTTGCTCTAGATCAACAAAGCAAGTTGTCTGCTGGACTCTGAAAAGAGGTTAAGGTAAAGCTATTCAAAAGAAACTGGTTTAGCACAGAGAGTAGAGAGTTTTTAGTAACTGGAAGAATGCAGGCATGATGCACATAATTTTTCATAGAGGTACTAAAGAAAATCGGATTATGATTGGCCATGACATGGTTTTCTAATACCTCTTTTTCCATTTTCTCTGCTGAATTTGGGAAAAGAAAAGAAACTTGGTTGACTGTCTTGCTTTTTGTCTTACCTGTGGACAGCAACGCAAGGTGTAGGCATCCTGAACACGGTCACAGAACCTGTGGCTCTCTGTGGAAGAGTGAGCAGGAGACAGGTTACCTGTTACCATTTCTTCCTAGAGAATACCCAGCCAAATAAGCTTCCTCACATAAACATGCCCAGACCTGCTATCTCTGAAGGGTGGTGATCTGAGTCCAACAGAGATCGAAACCGAAAAGCCACTTCAATTTGCCCACGGTGAGGGCGGACAGCATGAATGTCTAGAAATGAGGAAGGTGAAAAGATCTGAGAAATTAATAGACTGCTATCAGGACCATCGAAAAGTCCAGAAGTCCTTCCCTACCACTCAAAGTTAGAAACTCAATTCCAAAAGCAAAATTTTTCCTTATCAACTTTACTATTTTGTACTTTAAAATACTAAGGTGCCGACTATATGTGGATTCTACAAAGAACTGAACTGGAGATACTCAAAAGAACTGGGCTAATGATAGCAGGGAGCTCAAATAGTGGCCTCATTTAAGATTATTTTTCTGCCCTACTTCTTATTATATAGGGGCTTTTTAAAATTCTCTGCTTTCTCAATAAGATACTTCTCTAGTTTTTATCTCCCAATTTTCTAATTAAGACCAATCCTGATTCTACTCTAGTTTTAAAGTCCTGCAAACAGATTCCTCAAACAACACCCAGTTTGACACATGCATTACGTGGTCTAGGGCAGGTCATTTAACTTCCAAGGTCAGCATCTGTAAACATGGTCATTGCAAAGCTCAAGTGTGGCATAACTCAGAGGAAGCTGTATCAGAACTGGGTGTGCAGTGGGTATCTGGGTTTTCCCTTTCTTTCTCTACCCCCACAACTCCCATGCCTAAAACCTGCCACCGACTTGCCCCACCAGCTCTGGGGGAAGAACCTCACTGATGGGAAGAACCCACTGACCGGTATCAAAGGCTTTGGTGGTTCCCTTCAGCACCTCCAGGGTCAGGGCCGCCACAATGTCAGCCTGCCTGGCGATGGCACTGGCTCTCTCTACAGCTTCACAGCCCAGGGAGGTGATCATCTGCGTCCCATTGATGAGTGCCAGGCCCTTCGGGGAAGGAGAGAAAAGTTTCCTAGTGTATCTATTATAATGAACCTAAATGAAAGTGGTTTTCATATCTTTTGCTTTTGGAAGAGAAATATTAGCCAGTCAGCTGAACTGTTTATCCATGTTTCTAAAAGTGCAGGGCAGTAATGCTTATTGAAGCCATTGAGGAATACATGCTATCATATGTGAAATTGTTACTACAGATCTGAGAAATGAATACCTGTTGAGTGTCCCCATTCTCAAGGGAGCCATGTATCTCTGGAGGGTCAACAGCACAATCTTTATTATGCTGCCTTTTTCCAGTTTCTCACCATGATAGGAGAGACATCCTAAAACAATTCTGGTCCAAGCATTTTGGCTTAGAGCATCCTAAGGGACCAGGGTTGAGAGCATGTCTTAGGAATCCTTAGAGAACTAGATTTAAAGTTTAGGAGATCCCCCCAAGCATTTGTGGCATGAAGAATCTTAAATGCTCACAAAGGGAGAGGCTCTTTCTTCAGTGAGCAACTTCTAACAAACATGGAAGTCACTTTTGATTTAGAGAATTAGTGAGACTGGCTGTACCCTGAAGATGGTAGGTACAGGAACACTCGTTAATGCAAACAAATTTTCCTTGAGCCTCATTACCTCTTTCGGTTTCAGAACAATTGGTTTCAATCCGTGAGCTTCCAGGACCTATAGATTGATCCAAAGTATGAAAATGATTATCAAATGAAACACCAGCCCATTTCTGATTTCATATGGAATCCAATAAAAGGTCTTTAAGGCCAAAGAGGGTACTTGGCAGAGCATCTTATAAAAGAGTAGACCTGCAGGAATTGGCTCTGCTCATATTCTCTATTCCTGTTCTTTAGTCCGAAGACAGACTGGTCTTTCAAATAATTTTTCTACTTTAATCAGGGACTCTTGTCATCTACAGAATGAATTTTGGGTTCTAAGATCTTTATGTTCAGTTTACACCTTTGACTCACTTTCATTATTGCTGGCTCCAGACATACCTGCTCTAGGCTAAGGCTGGGTGGGTCCTGTATGCACGTAAGCCTGTCCCTGCCTCCAATCTGGACCTCTCATCTCTCCTTTGTCTAAACCCTGGCAGAACCCCAGCACAGGGCTTGGGTGGTAAATGTGTGCATCCATGAAGAGGGGATAATGGAATCCCCTCTACCAGATAGAGACAGAATCTTGGAGGAAAGAGGAAGAATAGCCTTCTCCTGAAACAAACAAACAAACAAACAAAAGTAAAGAGAGTCACTAAATATGGTCCCTTTAGGAAAGAAGGAAGAGGAAGTAGAGAAAGATAATGCTAGTACTACTTAACTAGGTCCATTTCACAGGAAGATTTGAGCACCTATCTCATGCCACATTCTCTTCTCTGGCTTAGGCTGGGACTGAGGGTAGAAAGATGGAGACAAGCTCAGGGGCAATCACATAATGGTATGTGGAGTCCTTGGAGATGTAGGAAGTGTGCAGGGCACACTAGGGTGTAATCAGTGAGCTGCTAGGAAAGCATAGAGGGTGGGCACGAGGGATGTGAAGGGTAAGGAAAGGGACCAGAGGAGTGGAGAGAGAAGATTCCTAGAGGACTTCTCAGAAGGAGAAATAGGAGTGAGGCAGGTGGGGAGGCCTGATACTATGCTGGGCTCTGCCAAGTACCCAGCACACCCCAGCTGCAAGCAACCTCTAGAGTCTGTAAGGAAGAACCCTGGATAGGAGGGATTAGAGGATCACACGAGGAACAAGACCCCGGAAGCCACATTAAGTCTAGACTTTATCCTGAGCATAATGGGAAGCATGACAGGTTTTAACCAGAACATTCTTGGATTTGCTGTTTAGAAAGGCCAGGATGCCTGGTGTGAAGGTAGAAGGGGAAACACTGTCCACAATCAAGAGGGAGCTGCATAGAAGAAAGATGATCTAGAACCTCATGAGGATCTTCCCCCTCTTTGACCCTCTGTCTCTTTCACTTACTGTTAGGGGACCTCCCTGTAAAGGACACTTTGGGCTGTTCTGATGAAATTTATTGATGGATGAGGAAACACGGATTTATTGAAAACACACTTTTCTGATTAGCCACCAGGGAGGGAGTTTGAAGGAGGCCACACAGTCAGTGCTATGGCCCACTGTCCTGCATTAGTAAATCTAGTTCCTAAAGACAACTGGGACAGTATGTGACCTTCCCAAAGGGCACTAGAAGTATCATGGGTGCAGAATCAATTCCTAGTTAACACTGACAGCTGTACCTTTTCATTGAGGTGATCCCCAAACCCAGGAGGCTGACAGTTGGGAAGGGAAGCTAATGGCCTCGACTAGTTTGACTTCTAAGCTTGGCTTATCTCATCTTTAACATAAGCATAGCAGTGACTCCCTCACTGGGCTGTCCGAAGGATCAAGTGACAGAAAGTCCTCGAGAGCACTTGGCATCCAGCTTAGAGAAGTCACCGCGAATGGAAGTTGTTGTAAAAGTCTTACATATTTAGCATCAGCCCAGCCACTCTTTGGAGACCACATCTTCCCTTCTCCAATTAGCCCAAGAGCAAGATGAGAGAGTGGGGCAAGGTCTCCACTGGCACCAACAGTGCCTTTCTCTGGAACGTAGGAAAGGCAGGAGGCTGCAAGAGAGGTGGCCATCAGTGGCTTAAAGGGCCCTTCCTTCCTTCTGGTTATCCCGGCCTTGCCAGGGAAGACCACCCCCACCCCAGACTGAATGTGGCATCACCTTAGGGCATAAAGAAAGTCAATTCTTCAAGCACAGATAGGGCTTAAGGAACAGCCTAGTTGAAGGTTCTGTCTAGTCCCTGAATTTAAGGGCAGACTTAAGAGGCTCATTCTAGTCTTCAAGATGCCAAGTGCTAAGTGAAGGGTGCTATTGGGTGGGTTAAAGTTCACAGGAATAACTGTCACTCCTTCTGCTCCCCTAGCCCCATCCCTCCTCCTTCTTGCCAAAAAGCGGACCCTGAAGCGTCCAGTCAATCAAGTCCACTTTGTGAGCCATGCCCAGCCTCTGTGGAAGGTTGGTCTGGGGCTTCATCTCTTACCATTAAAGGCTTCAATAACTTGTTTGAGGGTCTCCAGGGAAATGCCACTGTATCCTTTGGCTAAGACATTAATCCTTAAAGCCAGGAGCATCCGACACCTCTCAGGACTGAGCGGTTTCCCAACACCTACAAAAACAGAATTGACATTTTCCCCAAGGAAACCAAACCCTTTTCTACCTCTCAGCTGCCTCCATCTCTCCAATCTTTTCCCTCCTCATTCCAGTCTCCCCTTACTCTCTGTAGCTGGCTGGTTGGCTCTTTCTGCTGCCTGTCTTGCTTCTTGAAGCCTCAGCTTCCAGATAAAGACAAAGCCTCAGATTTGCCTTTTCAATTTCCCTCCCTAGAATGCCTCAGTGAACCCCAGCCTCCCCAAAACCTTTAGAATAGTGTCACCCAGCACCCCACTGCCACCCCCTACATACAGTGTTGAGATTCCTCAGTACAAACTCTGGCTCAGTTTGATGGGCACTGAGTCTTGAGAGGTTTTGTCTTCTCATCTCACCCATCCTAACTCACTCCCTGAGTTCCCACTTCTCCTGAATGCACCACCGTCTCTGAAGGGTTGAGTCCCAACCTCCTCCTCCGCCCGGCTCATTCCTTTTTCTGAGGTTCAGCCTAAAGGCAATCTGATCTGATGCCATCTCTTTTCCTTCCTCCATCCCAGCACCTTGTCCTTGGAATGCATTGGGAACACAACTGTTCACAGCTGTTATGAAATCACTCACACCGTGCTATATTTTATTCATGAAGCAAACAAGAACTTGGAGGTACCCCATGCTCCCGGTAATTTACCTGAAGAGTGGGAACGAACCAAGTTGACCTGAAGCTCCCTGGAAGAGAAAGTTAAAAACTCTCTTAACTTGCTCCAGGTGAAAACGTGCCCCGAGCTGGGAAAATGAAGGCAAGAAGAGTGACATCCTTGGAAGGGTATTTTCACTACCAACTAATAATGCAGTTTAACCCAAGCCTCACCCTGCTCATCTGTAAATTGGGGCCAACATCAGTGAGTTTCTTAGATGAAAAATAATTTCAAAGATAGGGGTGTTTGAAAGATGAGCACAGGTGAGTTTCAAACTTACTGTAGCTTATTGACAGGTATGACAGTTCTGGCAAATTTCCCAAAACCTGTAGTAATGCCGTAAACAACTAGAATAATAATAATAAAAAAAAGATATTATGCAATTAGACGCTGGAAGTTTTCTTGACAATAAAAAGAATTTCATAACATAAAGAGAAATTCATACCTGTTTTTTCCTTTATGATGCTGTCTATGACTTCCCTGGATTGCTGTACCTTCTTTTCGGCAATTGGAGTGAGCTAGGAAAACGTAGGTCATAACTGAGCACCTTGAAGGTGTCTGCATCAAAACTTCATTGGAAATGGTCAAAGGATGTCCTTCCCTTCCTCCCCCATACCTTTATTTTGTAGTGTCCCTTTCCCAAGTTGACCAGATCCTCTGTGGTCAGACTGTCCCCATCTAAGTCAATGTACTGAAAAAGAGGGAATCTCAGTGAGTATGAACAGCTTAATCCCTCTCACAAGAAGCCTCCAGCAGGATTGAACTTTGACACTCCAGAGATCTTATTACTGCTGCAAAACATCAATGTTCTAACTTTAAAAGCAGCTGGCTTAAGAGGAGGCTGGAGGCCAGGCGGTGGAGCATGCCTATAATCCCAGCTACTCCCGAGGCTGAAGCAGGAGGATCACAAGTTTGAGGCCAGCCTGGGTAAATTAGCCAGACTCTGTTTCAAAATAAGATAAAAAGGGGTGGGGATGTAGCTCAGTGCCCAGCATGTGGAGATCCTGGGTTCAATCCCCAGTACTTCAAAAGAAAAAAAAAAAAGCCCAGGAAAGGAGGGTTTGAAATGTAAAAGCATAGTAATGCATTTCCAAGCTCCCTTTCCCTGTTACACAGAGCTGGGGAAAGCCCTAAAGGAAAGTGGTTTGCAGCTTACCTTTTCAGGCTCCCGGTATTTGCTGTATCTGAAGCCAGGTAAAGGAAAAGATTGGACAGCATGCAAAAGCCTCAGCCCCACTATGTCCCAGTGGCCCTCAGAGCTAAAGCAAAGATCCTGCAAGAAAGGATACAGGTAAACTCCTTCCGGCTGAGAGGGAATGAAGTCAGGGGACATTGCATCGCCTTCTATGACTGAAACGACAAGCAAAATAGAGCCCTTATGGCCCACAGTTTACAGCCATGTTTGGGCTGCTGCTAAACCAAGAAAGGCCTATCGGTTGTCCTTAGGTTGTCCTTAGAGTCTATAGAAATGGCTGCTTTAAAACAACTCCCAAGGCTTTCAAGTGGTCTTAGCATCTTTACACAGGAAAGCAAAGAGCAGAGATAGAGCCCCAGGTGTTTACATTGAGAGTGCAAGATCTGCCTGCCACCTCCTTCCTGTCTCCTGACTGCTGCCTTTTAAATCTGAACTTCTGATGCCTCTGTGCTCCCGGGATCCAGCCTGCTGAAGTCTATCCAAGGGCAAAAGAACCTTTGAAATGATTTGGTAACTGCAAAGGGATTCAGGCCTTCCGTCTTGTGTTCAAGTTTAGGCTTTGAAACTTACCAGCTGCCTGAATGCAGCACGAATAGCCGACTGACTTACTGGCTCCAAGGTGGACAAGAAGCTGACCGACCTCTCTCACAGAGGCATGGCAGATGCCCACCCAGAGCAAACACTCAACAAGTGCTCCTGTTCTCATCATTTCCCCTGAAATGGGGGTGACAGTACAGCCTCCTTCCACGCCCTATAAGGACAAAGTCCAGCTCTATGGCCACCAGTTTGTTCCCTTCCCCTGAGGCCACTCACCCACTTCCACAAACTCATTGTCCTCCAGGGCCACCTCCAGCAGATCCTCATTGTCCAGCAGGCCCAGGCCCTTGCACCGGCGCACAAGGAAGCGCACAGCGTCCACGGAGGCAAAGCCACCATTGTCTGGCTTGTTCTTCATGTAGCGCCGCACGGCCTCACGGCCTAGCCAGCCCACCGTGAGCTGTGGGTCCGTGCAGGGCACCGCCAGCCATTCCCCGCGCACGTGCACCGTGTACCTGGGCATTGTCCGCTCCTGCAGTCCCGTGGCCCAGTGAGGCCGCTGCAATGAGAGCTCTTTCTTCCCCGGAGATAGTCTTGGGAGGGAGAGTTTTTATCCAGCTGTGACTGCTGGGGTGTGGTTGGCCTGGAGGACGGGAGGACCAGGATGGGCTTTCAGAACACACCCCCTCCCTCACCTTTACTCATTCATGAATTGGACAAATATTTATTGAGGGCTCCAGGTGTCCCTTTGGATTTTTGAAACTGAGCTAGGTGCAGGGAATGGGGATGTAGGCAGCTGAGACCCTGTCCTTCTGCGAGCCAGCCCTGTGGGCAGTCAGGCCCAGGGTCTCCCGCCCTGGTGATTTCAGGCACCTTCTTCTAGTCCCCTCTGGCTGGGGTCCCCAGTTTCTCCCTTTCCCCTTGTTTTCATACATTCTCCTACACTGGGGGCAGCTTATAAACACTATGTTCCTGTCTTTATCTGGAATTACTCAACCGTAAAATGCATCCTACTGGCCAATTGTGACACCCGGGAGTGTGGCAATCTTCATTCATTTGTTTATTCCACAAACACATATTGAGTAACGACTCCTTGTCACTGGTAAGTGCTTCTGAAGCTCTTGCTCCACAAAAAAAGACTGCAAAGGCCAGAGATCATTTTCACAAGTAAAGGTCATCACCTAGACAAATGGACCGCCATGGCTTGGCGATCTATGACTTATTAGCCCAGAGCCAGTGAGGTCTTAGCCTTTGTCTCCTTTTCAAAGGCAAAGGGACTATCTCTCCACTGCAGAATTTGCAGTAGCTAGCTAGGAACAAATCCTGGTTCTGGATATCTGAGCTGTTTTGCTTCAGGAGTTTCCTCACTGTAAACTGGTAATAATGAAAGTGCTTATCTCAAAGGGCCATTGGGAGGATAATGCCAGTTCATGCATGTAAAGCCCGTAGGATAGCCTCTGGGTATTGGGAATGCTATGGAAATGTTTGTGATTACTATCTTCTACATGCATAATACTTTTGATGCTTTGTCAATATTTAGTTTCTGTAGGTGGGTATCTCAAATAAATCAAGTTTCTTCACCACTGTAATTGCTCCCAATACATAATTCATTTATCCCTAGCATAAAGAATTCTGACAGCATGAAGGAATTAAAAACTGTGTACACTATTCTAACTAAGTAGCACTTCAGTAAAAAGCCAGTTAATAGAGATTTGATTACTGCAAGATTAAATTCTGAAAAATGTGTTTCCACAACAGACTCTTTGGACAGAGACACAGCCACTTCCCACAAACACCCATACCCACACCCACAGTCTCTTCCTTGGACAACTTCCTGAAAGTAATTGAAACTTGTCCTTCAGCACTCACCTCCTGAGTGTGGCCTGGAATTTGTCATTGCCTGAATTTGACTCACATAAATCATCTTAAATTCCAGTAATCCACCTTTTGACTCAACCTTCTAACCTTCCAATTCCCCCCAACTCCTACTTTAACCTTCTCTTACCTTGACCCTGACCTCTGGTTGGTCTCTTCTTCCCTCGGCTCCCCCACTTGAATCACTCTTCTTACAAATTTCAAGGTCCTTTGCATCCCTCAACCTATGCCCTGGGTCATCAAAACAAATTGCCACCTCTGTTTACCCAGGAGGAAGATTTCACTACAGAAGTCCTGAGATCCTGCAGATTCCTAGTACTGTCCTTTTCCCCACTCCCCCTCCCCTAAGAATTTCCATTCACCTAACTCTCCGAGGAAAGCCTAACATCTACATCTCTGAGAAAACGGAATGTCCTCAGGTATGAACCGTCTTTACTCTCTGCCTGCCTTCATTCATTCATTCATGTAACAAATATTTCTTGAACACCTGTTATGTATTAAGCTCTATGGGAGGTGCTAGGAACAAAATGTAGATAACGACGCCCTTCCTTCGTGACAGTGTTTGGTGATGCATACAGACTTAGACCAATAAGATGTCCAACTACCCCCATGCTGGAAGAAAACCCAAACTCCTGGGTACTCCAGCTGACAGGCCCAGCTGAGCTCAGCTTTTGAGTAATTCCAAGATGACACCAGCTCTCAGTGATTTAAGTCAGGCCCTCGACATTGCAGAGCCATTTAATCCTGTTACCCTCCCTCCAACACTTCCCAACTTTTCTGCTTGGTAGCTATGTCTTTTTCCGGAAATCTCAGTTTAGGTCTTTTCTTCTCCAGGACCGTATTTCCTAAATCCTTCCTTGGCTGGGCTGGTGAAGCAACCCCTTTCTAGGCTGCGTTAGCATTATCTCCTCCTGTCCATCTTTTTGCACAATACTGGGGAAATCTATGCATGCTAGATTTCTAGACAAGCGTGTTACCACTGAACTATGTCCCTATCCCTTTTGGAGACAGGGTCTCACTAAACTGCCCAGCTGGCATTGAACTTGGGATCCTCCTGCCTCAGTCTCTCCAATAGCTGGAATTACAGTGTACAGCATGGTGCCCCAGGTTTCCCACCCCAACCTTTAGCAATCTATAGAAATTACTTATCTTTGTTCATCCCGTAATCATGTGTGTATCAGACCTGGCACAAAGACACTCAACAAGTTAGCTGAAGTGTCAGTGTGAACTCCAGGGAAACCTGTATGTAGATGTGTTTGTCTTTAGCGCCCTCTACCTTCTTCATAGCACTTTTCCACCCCATCTTTCAAGCATCCCAAGGGATTTTTGAAAAATGGTACCATTAGTACCATTTCTTTTAAGCTCATATGGCAAAAGAAACTTTAAAAAGCATTATTGGGGGGGGGGCTGGGGTGGTAGCTCGTTTGCCTAGCATGAGTGAGGCACTGGGTTCCATCCCCAGCACCACATATAAAAAATAAATAAATAAAATAAATAAAATGAAGGTCCATCGACAACTAAATATATATATATTTAAAAAGCATTATTTAAATGCATGAATTTGTTCAAGTCTAAGCACTCAGAATGTGATTATATATTAGGGGCTTGAACTGATCTTTCTGCTCTGGTATTCCTGGCAAAGTCAAGAGAGAAGAGAGCCTTGAGAAACAGACCAGTGAAGGTCTATGTCCCAAAGGACAGCATTACTAGGGCAAGCGGGAGCAAGGGAGATGGTGGAGGATTCCAGGAGGGACAGGAACTTGCCATTTTAATACCTCATCTTCCCTGTTCACTCCTATTTTAAGACTAGTCACTGTCTGAGCCCTTTAGTCTGGTGATGTCACACCCCCATCAGGCTTACACTCAGTTTTCTGTTTGGCTAGAGTCTATGTGGCCAGGGTTGACCCAATCTGGGTCAGTCTCCTGTCTGGGAATTTGGAATTGAGATGGTCTCTCCACGTGGAAGGAATCATTTCAAACAGCAGAGCCGGGGGCCATCCAGACTGTACAATGTGCACCAGAAAAATGGATGAGTCAGGAGTAGTGATGGGCTTGTCTCCTGTCCTGGGGTTCTGGTAACCTCTATCTTGTCTCATTAAGTAATCTCCCTCTTCCCTTGTGACTTCCAGTCACTTGGATTGTCATTACTTGCTGTCAAAGAATCCTAACCAATGATGTTGAGAGCCACAGCCTAAGGGGCCCCAGCAAACTTCCAGCTGCCAGCTGATTGGCTCCTCTGCGGTGATGCTCATTGGGCTGTTTCCCCGCCCTTTCAGACCACGGAGCTGCTCATTGGGGGACTCTTTTGGCTCCGCCCATGCGACCCAGCCAATTGGCCTTAAGAGCAGGAGGAGTGGGGGTTGAGAGGCTCCCCTGAAGCGGGTGGTGGCAGTTGGGCTCTGAGGGAATTCCTGAAGAGGCAGTGTGGTGCTGAGTGTGTGTTCTAAAAATAAAGTTGGTTTTGCTTGACAAGTGGCTCGTGAATTGTGCCCAGCCAGACTGCGGCACAATACAGCTGTGGTTCCTAAATTGTATGCCAAGGCGCTTGGGGCACCACACTGCATTCACAAGGGTGCTGTTATTCCAGTCTTTAATATGGTTCAAGTTGGATGTTTTCAGTATGTTTCTATATTCTGCATGTTCTATGTGAAGAACACCAGCTGGCCACACATGAGGCACATTAAACGACTATCAGGAGGCTACCTGAGAGACTGATGGAGGTGCTGATGCTCAGGGTGCCCACCTGATCCCTTAAGAAGGTTGACAAGTCTCCCAGATCAGCCAGATGAACCCAGGGCTGGAGAGCTGAGGCTCCTGCTAGAGTTTACAGTTTGGTAAGGGAGTTCATGCTATAAACGTGCACCAGGTGGGTGGTGAGTGTCCACATCTAAGAATATTTTAAAAGCAAAACTCTCATCATGCTGAATTTTTGGTTTAAGGCAGATTTAAATTAAAGAACTTTGATAAAACATCAGGTATATAATATTTTGGCATATTTTGTGATCATAGTTAGAAAACTAATAACAATATATTGTTACATTGTGTGCAAATTGTAACAATGAATCCCAACATTGTGGACAACTAGAATGCACCAGTAAAAAACGTGGAGGAAAAAAAGAATTGATAATGAAGCTAATTCAAACATTTACACCATGTAAATTAACAGATTAAAACTCATTAAAATTTATAAAGAATATACCACTATTTTTTAAAAAGGTAGAAAATTTACAAAGTCACCGACAAAACAATAAAACACCACAAATAAAAAGACATTTTTATTAATGACATGAGCTGAAGTTTTATATTTCTTCATGAATTCAATTTTAAAAAAGGAAATTTTGGAAATCAGTAAAAGGCAGGTCCTTAATCCACTTTCAAATCCTTCCCCACCAGCATTGCAGTCACAGGATGCATGCTTGCTTTGTGCTCCTGATAGGTATGGATGGCTTGATCACGGGACTTGTCAAAGGCAGCAAGATCCCTGCCAAAAGAGAAGGGAAAGAAAGAGGAAAGAGGGAGAGGGGGAGGGAGAAAGAGACAGACACACACACACAGGAAGGGAAAACAAACATTAAGTTAATATTAGAGATAAAGTTAAAAGTGATGGTTAGGAATAGCTAAATATCACCCAAATAAAGCACAAATCCTGGCCTATTAGGTAGCCTGTGCCAATCTCTGCACCAGAGACTGACCCTTAAACTGGCAGATCACAGATATTGTGGGGTTTTACAGGGAAGGGCCAGAGTGGCAGCATGTAAGTATTTTATTATTTGAACAGGGTCCTTTCACTTACTGGCCAAATACTGGTCTTGTATGAGAATGTGCCTTAAAGACTATCTTTTTTAAAATTGGCTTTTTTGTTTTGTTTTGTTTTTGTTTTGGTAGCAGGGATTGAACTCAGGGGCACTTAACCACTGAGCCATATCCCCAGTCCTTTTTATATATTTTACTTAGAGACAGCATCACACTAAGTTGCTGACGCTGGCTTTGAACTTGTGATCCTCCTGCCACAGCCTCCCAAATTACTGGGATTATAGGTGTG